GCCCTTCAGTRCAGAGAGGTGAGGTATAGTTTATTTCTATAATCTACTTTTTGCTCTGCCAGATTCCAGCTTCTTTAGGGRAGGATTTTCAGCTGCTCTGGAAGCTTGCAGTGATGAGGTGACACAGGCAGTTATTTGTACAGGCCTAGGGAAGCGTACCACAGTTCAGTACAATATAAACTAATTGCATATAATCCATACCACACCGGCGGTTTAGGTTACTAAAAGCTTCATAAAGCTTGTTGCAGTTATTTTCTCTTGAAAAACCTTATTTGCCCAATACTTTTTTGAAGTAAGAAGAGTCTATTTTTCTCTTCCCTGTCTTCTGAACCTCTTCTCTCACACTAACACACACACATTCCTGATTCAGGATGTAAACCTGGTACACTTTAGTAACAAGGTCCTGGTACATTAACTGCTGAATTAATGCACAGGTATCAAAACACATCACTGTTTCAAGGTCAGGAATGATGTCCTTTAGTCCATGGTCTGCCTACAGCTTACAAAATCATTGTGGCCCTCCACCGTGGGATTTATTTTCTTTTTCACCTTCTAAAGTGTCAGTGTAAGACCTTGGATATTACAAAGCTTTATTTATCTCAACAGAGGAGATTCTTTCTAATCCTTGACTTGTGTGGATATAATTTTGAAAACTGCTGTAGCGTGGGTAGAATTAAAYGTGTAGTGTATTTTGGGGAATTACCTTGTTGCTTTGGAAAGCAGTCTGAGCCCATGATTAAATCTGCTGCTCTTGTGCACTGCCTGTTTTCCCTCTGTGTTCTGCATGGCACGAGGATATCTGATGTGATAAGGTTGTTTARCCATCTGCATGTCTGCTTTTGTCACACTGCTGTTAGACTTTGATTTGCTGCTTCAGGAAATAGAACTTTCCTTGAGAAGTTACTGTAAACACACAAATGCCTTTCTCTGTAGAGAAATTTCATTAAAACTGAAATTTTGCACTGAATGCTGACATGATCTGCAGTGAGCATCAGTGGGAACCAGAGTTACATGTGCTGTTGACAGCTCTGAAAACACAACAATGAAAGTCACTTTATCAACTCTTTGTATTCTTTAGATTTATTTTCAGAGAATCTGTGTAACAGTTGGATGTAATTCARTAGCCAAATACTGAACAAGAACAAACCAGTTTCAATTACTTGCTACTTGATCCTTGGAATAAACCCAGATAATGATAAAAAGTTCTAAATTATTTAGTAAATAAGATGCTGAAGTAGCAGTTTGTGCTCATTGTCTGGAGATAGATTCCATTTAGGTTATATCAGTATTATTCTTCAGGAATTCCAATTATGAACAGATTCATACTTGAATCTACACCTCTGTAACTGTTTTTTAGCATATTTGTTTTATTCAACCAAAATCATATATTTAGATAATTTTCACAGCATACAGTGTACTGTAATTAATAACAAGTATTATTAATAAGCATTGAAATTTCAATCCAGCTGTGTGTGAAAGGKTCACAGGTCCAACCTGCTCTCCAGTAAACTGAATTAATTACTCAAGGAGGTCTGAAAATCCACTGATGTTCCAAAGTGACACAAGATATTTGTTAAGCAGAGTTGGAGAAAATTTCCAAGAAAATTAAACAAGGAAGTTCACGGCACCATCATTCAAATTCTATTTTTGATTGATTTTCAAGTTAAGGAGAGCTTGTCATCTTTGTCTCTCGTTCCAATCCGTGTAATCTAAAAGATTTATGGATAAAATCTAGAGTGTCAGTCTCATGAAGTGAGAAATTGCAGGGTTTTTAACAGAATAAGGTGAATTGATCATTTTTTAACACCTTGGCAAGAGTTTTATGACAAGAACAGACAAAAAAGAAATACACAGTAAATTTTCCCATCAGACTAAACCAAGGTGAAATACAGAATTTCCAAAGTGCAGGAGGTTGAGGTTATTTTTTTTTCTCCTGAAGATAAAATTTCAAAAGCTCTGGAAGGTGGTTTTCAGAAGTTTGGCAGATGCCSTGGTGTTTCAGAACAGTTGTTAGGAGTCAGTGTTTTTCCTGGCCAGTTCTCCTCCCGTCAGAGAGAGTATTCAGAGGATGCAGTTTTATGTTGCAGCTGGACTGATTAACTGTGGGCACTCACCAAAAAGGGAGGGCTTGTTTTCCTCTCCAAAGCTTGTTCCTTCCCTCTCCAGTGTGTCAGTGGTATTGCTACTCTGACCCCACRGTGAACTGATTCAGAGAACTGAGGCTGTAGAAAACTAACACAAAAACAAGGAAAATAATAGCTTTGTACTRATGTAGTGCTCTGATCCATCATAGGGTCAGGTGAGTGCCAGTGTGACTGGGGTGTGTAGCCAGAGGCAGGATGATTGGGAGAGCTTTTCTAATAATGTTAATGTGCTGGAAATCTGGAGTTCTAGCAGTTTTATCAGGTTAAAGATTGTTTCTGGATTATCTCTACTGCTGCTGARAAGAAGGGTCTTGTTCTCTCTACTTGGTGCCCTGTTTTCCTATAACCTTCTTCGTGGTAGCACTGCTGATTTTATGGTCTGTTGAATTAGAAGATTCAGCTGAAGACCAAACTAACAACAACAACAACAACAAAATTTCAGCCTCATGAAAGCTATTGTTACTTAGCAAGGAACAAGATGGTGTRAATTTGTCCTTCATGACAGCAGCACAAATAAATGTCCTAAAGTTAGTTTTGATGTTGCACTATAAATATTGGTTAGAAAAAGTTTATTTGCCAATTCATTGAATGTCAGCTGCTATGCTGTACAGGATTAAAGACTTTCTTGCAGGATAAGATTCATGTGTGGCACCAATAGTCTCTGTTTTRCCTGAGTCTCCTCTGGTATTTCTCCTGAGATGGAGAGCAAGTCAGAGAACACGGCTGCATTTAGGAAAGATGTCAGTGTATGCAGTGTGTGATGGTCTATTATAAAATCACCATCCTCATCCTCATCCTCATTGCATCATCTGTTTAACATAAGTGGCTTTCGTGTGTTTTTTCTCAAATTTTTCAGATTTATTCTATCTGGTTTCACTGAAGTATCTATGTCAGTGGAACACACATTATCTAACATGTTTGGGATATGTTCTTTGCACACGAGCATGGCTCATTGCATCAAGCTCCATCTCTAAGGTGAAGTGCATTTATGTTGTCTGATGAACTGACAGCTCTGAGGAAATGCTCTTTCTGGCCTCTTCAAACACTTTTCACATGTACCGATGGRCTCAAGACTTCCTTTTGAAGTTTTTGTTTCATTCAGAAATGAGATTCAGTGCAATGCCCTCTGGCCTCGCTTTTCTTCYTAGTGCTGTTTTCTTTGGGATTACTGTTTGCTCATTGTTTGGTTCAGACCATACTCAATTGCCCTTATAATTGATCTGGAGCTAATAACCATGTACTGGATAATCAGGTCTGCTCTGGTTTTCTGGGATTGTGTTGAGTYTTTCAGCTCCCACAGACTCTTCAGGGGAGTTTTTTACATTTAGCACCTCTGAACTGGAGTATTTTGGCTCTGGGTGACCTGCTGATGGGTTAAGCCACAGCCATTAGGTGATAAGATTGTTCTGACTGAGTGTGAGTGCCYAGAATTGAAATGTTTGTATGAAAATGAGTCGCCCTAGGATCCCTTTAGGGACAGGGAAGTTCTGTCCTGGTGTTCCTGGAGCTGGCATGTTGTGTGCTTCACCCTGGAGCCATACCCGTGGTAGGGCCACTGCCCATAAGAAAAGTAGGAATAGGTAATCTGTTGAATTTTGATTAGATTTCTAATCTAATTAATTTGGATGATTGATTTAAATGTTTGTATTTGTATTTTTACAAATACATTTTATTTTAAATCCATATTTATCTGTGGAAATGGAAGTTGCCAGACATAAGAAGAGTTTGTGGAGCTCCCTMAGGCTGGCATCCAGAGGAGCACCTTTAAAACACAGATACCGAGATGCATGTGACAATTGTACACTCATGCTCTTATGTTTAAGAACTTCAACTATACAGGGATATTAACATTACCACTGTAACATGCTATGAAATTGTCAGCTTATAAGATCAGCATTGTCATTTGTGTTTGACTGACATAATTGTGAAGTTGGTTTCTTCTGCCTTCATTACCCATGGTGTGCTCTGTTGTTTCTGTGTCGCTATTGGAAGCAGGCACAAGCTCTGCCTTCACTTGGCACATTGTGTTTGTCAGGTTCAGTCTCTTCTTTGCCTGGATTCTTCATCTTGGGCTAAAAGAAAGAAGTTTACTTTCTGTAATCCACATTCTGGCTTATTTCACAATTGTATTTTCAAGAAGTTTGTTTAAAACTCCAAAGACCCATTTGTATAGTTCTTGGCTGTCACAAGTGAAGAGGATTAAATTAATAGTCACTCCCTTTTCTCTCCGTAAAGCTCTTCCTTTCCAACAACCTTTTATCATAGGTACTCCTGGGTAGCAAATCCATAGTACTCAGGTAATGTTTGAAACAATGCATTTTCCTTGTCCAATCTTGATTAGGATTTAAGTGGTTTTGGCAGAAATAAAAGATCAAGGAAAGTTCTTACTGAATATATGTATAAGGAATATAAAATGGGAAAAAAATAATGCTCAACTGTTGCAGGGTTCAGTTTAAGAACTTTAACTTTCCACGAGGCTTCTCAATTCATTCCCTTCAATATCAACATCATCATTATAGATAAAGTGCCAACTCCAGTATAATACTCTAAATTTGGAAAAAAGTTTTAAGTACTCTGTGTGTGTTGCAGCTTGGGATAGAAGAGAAGGTCATGGATTTTGAAGCAGGAACAAGACTCACCTTTTGGGCTGTGGCACCTCAGAGGTTCTGGTGCACACTGCACTTTCAACACTAAGCACATACTGAATTTCCAGCACTTGCTTTTCTCAGTGCTTAAAATTGCTGAAGGTTATGCATAGGCATAATTTTAGGTGAATGTGTAAGATCTGTTTTGTTCCTCAACAAATGCTGGGTTTGACATTCTGTTAACTGCTGGCTTTTTTTACTTCTCTCCCAGGTGTTTACCTCTCATGGACCTACTGTGATCATGCCAACCTGGTTCTGCTCTCGAGAATGGTTTTTTCAYGTGGGAAGGTTTGATGAGGGTGGAAAGGTGAGTGGTGCAGATGTTATGTAGTCCAGGAACCATCCCTTTGTTTAACAGCCTGTGAAAGCCCTGTACCTGCTATTAGGGAGCACCAGGCAAAGGGGAGAAGATAAAAACAGATCTAAAATAACCTGGATCATACCATACACATATTTGTAAAAAAAACAAACAGTCACTAACCAATTAAAGTCATTTAGGAGCAACTCTGGTGATGGAAGGAGCTACATGAGATTAACTTTGCAGTTTAATCTGTTAGATATGTCAGCATACCTGGAACAATTAAAGGTTTCAGACAYACAAGCACCTCTTTGGTCCCTGAAATGAATGCAGCAGATCTGAAAGTTAAATAMAGGTGAGCCCATAGTTTTGCTATGAACTATCCCTGCCAGGTGAGGTRGGTTGCTAAAAGAGATTGGGAGGGAAGAAAGGTGCAGGATGGCAAAGAGATGGAAGTACATTCACCTAAGGGGGAAGATTTATATCCCTGAGATGAAAAATGAAGGGCCATGAAACTACTGCCATTAAAACTCGTTTATCCATCTGTCTGATGTCCACTTGTCAGTCCTAGTTCTTGTGCTTGTCTGTGGAAGATTTTAAGTAGCTTCTCCTCAGGGATCAACGCTGGGAGGTTACAAATTAAACACTTGTGATTTCAGAAGTGTTCCTTTCTTGACAGTGAGGTGTTCTTTGTATTTATAATTTCCTGTATGAGTTCAATTCAATTGCTTTAAGATCATCGGTGTGTTTATGGAATGAAATCCCTAGATGTCTGGCAGCAGTATGTATTGTGGTAGTACTAGAAATATGTTGCCAAATAGATCTAATTTAGATACATTTTGTGTGGTTTGGTCTGGAGAGGTTTTGCTTCCAGTTTTTGGTGAGATTTTAGGTCTAAAATGGGTGGTTCTGAATTGTGTTTTTTTTGTTTTGGGGTTTTTTTTTGGGGGGGGGGGTGTTTATTTGGGGGGGTTTTGTTTACTTGTGTTTTTTTAGAAAGTTTTTATTTATTAGTACTCTAAAAAAATCTGCTCAGGCTATTTCCTATTTTATTATTTAAACTACAGCTGACAATGATGATGATTATTATTATTTTTATAGCTTCTAAATGAATCCTTCAGTGCCATGCAGTGTGTATATATACACACAGGCATACACACATATGTATATATGTATGTATGAGGATATACAAATATTATTCTTTAGGCTGCCAAAAATTATAAGGAGACAGCAGACAGAGAACTGAATTGTTTAGAGCAGTGAAAAGATTTGCCCTTAATTACATGGTGGGTGAGTGGAAGGGCTGGGAATGGTGCCTGGCTCCCAAWACAATCTACATTTGCTGAACCATGCTCTTTATTTCTTTTTTATTATTATTCTTTATAATTGTATTTTCATTCTCTGAAGAATGTTTGACTTAACTTCTTGAGTGTTGTTAGTAAACCCCAAAAAGAAAGCAAGCAAGTTAAAGCAGTAGCAACAATAGAACAGCAAGCCTAATGACAAAGTTCAAGAGGTTAAGTTAAATAGACTATTGTTCTGTGCTTTTTGCTTTTCATTTTGGCTTTTTTTTTCCTTTGTTTTATTTTTATGAGCTGGGTTTTTTTCTGTTTTGCTCTGTCCTTATAATTGTGTAGGAACTATGCCGCTGGTTATTCAGCTGTAATACACTGACAATCTTAATCCTAATGATTTTTTAGCTACAATACATGATATGTCCTTCTAGYTTTACGAATTACCAGTGATRAGTTGAACATATTGTTTGTCCCTATTGTGAAGTGTCCAACATGTCCATGTTCACACTCTGGCTGATAGAGAACCTTCAAAAAAATACCCTACAAGCCAGGACCTATCTGAACAAAGCAATGAACACAAGCCATGAAGTCAACCCTTTGTCGTCTGTGGACACAAAATCAAGTCTTAAATCACTCAGCATTTAGTGTTGCAAAGTATTTAGCATTGCTTAACTCATTCATTTTCATTTGAAAAGAATGCCTTTGAGGCAAACAAAGATTTTCTCTGTGTATCAGCAGAGCTGAGAATAYTCTTCAGGGTCTCATCCCTGTTTATGTTTATCTGATCACTTCCATCTCCATTTTTGCATTAGTGTTTATTGAGGAGACTTGCAAATGTCATATTGCTGGAAGTAAACAGAGGAACAGGCCAACAAATCTCCATGTTTTGGCCTTCTCCATTTGCTAAACTGTTTCCTGCCAAAAGCTGCATTTCTCATTTGAAATTAAATCCAAACACCTGTTCTTCATATTTCAGTGCTTAGAAAAAATGGAGGGTAATCCTTCCATGGATGAAATGGTGATTTGGTGTTTATGGTAACAGTGTGGGTGGACTGATAAAATACAAATAGATCTGCTATGGTGTAATTATTGTTTCATTCCAGGTAGATATGTATGTCTCTCTCCAGCCATCCAGGCTCCAAGTGAAACAGATCTTTTCCATTTTTTTTAAATTCTTTTTTCTTCTTTTTTTTTTTTTTTTTTTTTTTTTTTTTTTTTTTTTTTTAATAAAGGTCTTTCTGATCAAAATCTGCAATTGTTAGAAGTGTGTTCCTTTTAGGTCCAAACAATGTCCTGAATAATATCTTCATAAATTGTCTCTAGGAACCTGAAAGGTTTGTTTTATGTACTAATTAACTAAAATGGTAGAGGTGTTATTTATGCCATCTCTGATAAACTATTATTAAAGCAGGWCTATTGAAAATATTTTAGCAAGCTGTGATGGTGTGGTGAGACTAAGGTAATGCAATGGAAGTGGTCACAAGCCTATAAAGTAACATTTCAAATAGTATCTGCTGCTAGAAGARTCCCATGTGAACCGTGTTTCTGAGTTACTTTTTATAGGAAACCAAAAGACAAAAATCTTTCTGTTATCCAGCAATTTTGGATAAAGAATGCAGTTCATCCTTATTGAAAGAAGTAGCAGCACTTTGCTAAACCCTTCAGAACTCCCACTTGACACTTTAAGTTTGTGACATTACCTTGAGTGAGTTTSCTGCTGCAGTTTTTGGTGTCTCCTAATAAGTAGTACCATTGATAAAAAGTAATAACCGTGTCCAAAAGCATCACAAAAAATTGTGCTGAGGAAAAAAATGTCCCTGGTCTGTTGTACTGTGAAAAGCAGRTTTTGAAGCTGTATCATCTGTTAGRGCAGGGAACTCTCCAGYCATGTGCAAWGGTAGATGAGATGTCTGTTATTAGCAAAGAAAAGTTATTGTTTCATGTGTCTAACAGAAATCCTGAATACAGGGAGAGCTGGATAAATGAGCATTGCTAACCTGAAGCTCCACTCCATGCAAATGTGGAAATTGCAGAGTCTTGGCTCTGTCCACGCTCTGTTACTCTCAACATCACAACTGTTACATGACAAACTTCTTTTTTTCTCTAGAATTTTACCACAACTTGGTTTCAAATTTCCTGTCACTTCTATGTKTATCGTTCTTTTTAAAGTGTATGAAAACTGAAAATGGAGTGACTGCCTCAAAGTTCTGAGCTAATCTCAAAGTGTAAACAGGGGGAAATCATTCTTAATGAGCCCCAGATGGAATAGTGCATGGTAAACCACTGGCCTTTCTGAATACAAACTGTGGCTCTGCTCTGTCTGGAGCTCAGTTTGATTCTATTTTTGTGATAAAAGGTCACAAAAAGCACAAATTGAGGTGGTATCAAAATATCCCTTAGAGTACAGGAGACTGTAGCCCATGCTGTAAAGCTCTGAGGTGACTGTAGCTGTTATGCACTAACTGATGCAATTTTCCATGTTTTCTGCCAGAGCACACARATAACATTCCCTTCAGAAAGGCAAGGGGTTAAAATTATGCCTGAGAGGTAAAAGGCTAAGCAGGAATTTGRTTTTTTGGAACATGAATTAAAATATTGTCTGTCAAATAACCTATCAAGATGCTCTGGGGAAAATCAGCATAAAACACAGGCAGTGTTGGTTTTGGCTTGATGTAGTTAAGGCTGAACAGAGATCAATATTTGATCTAAAAAGGGGAGAAAAAGTGGTGGAGCTGGTGATTAATTACACTTTATAAGCTATTTGAAAATTCACCCCATACCCCATGTCTAATTATATTTTCTGTTGGTCTGTTATTAAATACCATTTAGAATTTACTACCTCCCTTCCATTTGACTTCCCTATCATTGTTTAATGTAATTTCTCTGTGCCAGGACATTTGGATGAAAGCAACCTTTTGGAGTTTCCTTTAACCTGTTATTTCCCAAACAATGAAGTAAAGGTTAATGGGCTCTGGGTCCTATAATCAAGGCAAAATGATGGAAARGCATGATTTGGATAAAAGCCAAGAAATGAAGTGACAGATCTGCAGAAGGAGAGGCTTAAAAATATCTTGGATAATTCTGTCGAAAAGCTATGAATAGCTATTGAATTCTTTCCATTCATTGATTTTAGGCTCCTCTGAGGAGTTAAAGCAATTTGGCTTTTTCTSTCCAGCAGTTACCCTGATGTTGCTGGACCAAACAGAAAGGACTGCTGTCAGTTTGAAGTGCTGCAGAAGTTGCTGTTGGTCATCCCAGGGCAACAGCATGATCTCACAGCATTGCACAGGACATCACTTGCATTAAAACTCCTACAAAAAATTCTGATCCCCAGTGATGTTCTTCATCATGACTGATGGTGGAGCTGCAAGAATTGGAGCCAGAATTGCTTGTTGTGAGATGCTTGAACCTCCCTAAAAATGTTGAGGTTGCTGCAGTGGGAGCAGTTTGCTGTCAGGAGTGAGAACAGCGAGCGATGAGAAGATGGCAAGAGAAGGATCACAGATAATTTACTCTGGTTCCTGAACAAGGAGTTACTTTAACTCAAGTTAAGGTTCTGCTTGACACCCCATGGTGTATAAAAAAGCAGTCCCCTCATCCATACAACCATTAGCATAACAAGCAGTACCTGCCCAAAATACTGGGTCAACTTCTCCTGTTCAGTAGGAATGTGATAAAGTGAACAATGATTTTGCATTTAGCTAGTTAGAGCAAAGCAGGGGCAGGCTGTGGTATTCACTGGGAGCTGTAATCGATTTATCCCTTAGTGCAGCAGAGAATGTAGAGTTGAGTTTTGCCTATGATGTGGAAAATTCTCTATGTAGTCCAGTAACATGTAAACTGTGCAATGTAATTGTATTTATTAATTCTGAAAGCTATTGATGTGGTAGCCTATTGCTGAAATACTGGGTTAGTAATTGATACTTTTAGCTACGGATACTAATTTAAAAAAAAATACATTAAAATATCCCTTTAGTGGTTAAACAGCTTTTTCTTTCAAAGTTGTGTTGTTTCACAAAGATTCCTGGTGTTTAAAATGCCATCTGGATCCAATAATAGGTCTCAATTGGGAAGAAACTCTTGTATTGCAGCAAACTTACACGCTCAAGAGCCGTAGGAAGTCCCATCCCTGCAGGATCCATAACACAGTCAACATCTTTGCTCTGAAAAATGCAGGGCAGTGCTGCTCCTTTGTAATGTGAGAGGCCACTGCTGAGCAGTACAAGGCACCTGCTCCTTCCTAGGGTGAGTGCACTTTATTCCAGAATATTTCTGCCAGTTGAAGGAAAGCAAAGGAGCACTTGGAACCAAACAGCGTTTTGGAAGATCCTTTTGCAGTAACTCTTTTAAATATACACATTAACAGTTGTCTTGAATAATGTAAATGCTTCTCCAAAGGAAGAGGAATTGCTGATACGTGTGTGATGTAATTACAGATCTGAATCAAAATATGACTCCTGCAGCAAGCTGATACCTGCTGCATTTCAGGGGCCCTGAAACATATTGTAGTGTGTGACCAGAAAAGGGAGAAGGGTTTGAACTTTACTGCTGGCTCAGTATTTTCCTTAAAGTCCACAACAAGAAAAATATAGAAAGGGCTTCAAGACAAATAAAAAGAATTTGATCCTGTGTTTTTCTTGTATTCTTGATGACTGTGGTTGCTGGCTGCCACTCCAGCTCCTCCCAGATTCCTTTTGYGGCTTTCAAAGTAGGTTCATATAAAGCATAAATTGTATGTATGAGGTTGTCTAAAAGTTTTCTTCTGCATTGCAGCYCTTGAAAACCAGAAGTCAGRCAAATGTCTGCAAAGACAACCAATAGCTACAGTTGAGCTGCCCTTAGTGAGCAGCTGAGGAGCAGAATCCATTCCATTCAGAATGTGGGAGTGTGGCCCAATTCAGTGTCAMATATGAATCACAGAATGAGGGCTGCAGAGTCCAGAGCTGGATTTGATTGTGATTTCTCCCAAGATACATATGTTCAACTGAGTGCTTTGGAGTTGTTTTCCAGTGTTCAAAGCTTTTTTTTGTCTCATTTCTCTTCCACTCCCACACCCCTCTGGCTGCTCAGCCTGGTGGGTATGAGAAACAGTCACTGAACTGTACTGCTCTCRTAACTGGAGGTCCAGAAGAAACCCCAGAGGGGTGTTGTGTCCAGCACTTTAATTAGAGAGTCTCATTTTCTTAATTATGGAAGAAACTCAGAAGTTGTAGTAATAGGGAAAAAAATAAATTACCTTTTTTTTTAAACTCATACTCTTCTTGTTTTCCTGTGTTGAAATAGAATGGTTATAATTGAAGTTGAGGTTTATGCCCAAGTTATTCATCTGTGTGATTTTGTCTACAATATCTGTCTTTAAACATGAAAAAATGAAATGTTTAGTATTTCARGAACCTTGTAGCATTGCAAAATATAAAGAAATGCTACTTTTTTTACCTTCTGTTTAGGACTTTAAAGGTGGGTTTATCCTCTCATATGCCACAAAATGGAATTGAGTACYATGAGTCGTATAATTGCTTATCCCACACTGTATCTGTGGCATGAAGATTCTCAAATTTTTCCTAGACCCTGCTAGATCCATAACTGTAGGGGCTTTTATCTTGTAGTGTTTTCAGCAGCAATGGGTACAATTCCATTAGGATGAATGTACCATGGAAAGAAGTTTCAAGGAAAAAAAAAATTGTTTTCAGATGTTGCCTCATTCTGAGGTTGCTTTTATAACAGTTTTTATTGAAGTCTGTTACTGTGGGGCCTCAGTCACCTTTCCTAAGTAGAGAGCAGTATTTGTATGGCAACCAGAGAAAGAAGGAGAATTCTAGTAAAATGGAAAAAAAAAACCTTCTGAAGTCAGAGATCCTTTTCAGTATAAACTGTTTGGTTACATGAAACTTTCGGCTGCACAAACTGTTTGGCAGCTGGGTTTCTTTTTCTTTTGTATTCACCTGCACCAAGCTTGAGATCCCTGTCAAAATGAGATTWTGTTGATTTTTCCACCTCTGTCCTTGCAGTCAGCTGCACTTCATATTTAAAWAGTGCTGATCTTTTAATAGCATTAGCTACATTTATTTCTTGACCCATTAGATAAGTTCATTGATACACAAATAATATTATGAAATCAGAGATGGGCCTGGGGYGGAAGGGAACTTAAARATCCTCTTGTTTCACCTCCTGCCATGGAGGTTCTCCTAGACCAGGTTGCTTCAAGCCCATCCAACCTGGCCTTGGACACTTCCAGGGATGGGGAGTCCACAACCTCCCTGTGCAAAATAAAAATTGTATTTATGAATAACAGTCATATATTAAATATGTTAAACCATATTCATTTGGCAGAAAAATGTAACATCTTCAGATATAACAGGTTGTTGGTCGCTAACTATGAAATAACTGTTTTGTGTTCCAGGGTGTCCCAGAAGATTTGTTGTTTTTTTATGAACATCTCCAGAAGGGTGGAAAAGTCTTCCGAGTAAACCATTGCCTCCTGCTCTACCGATACCATCCACAGGCTGCAACTCACTCCATCCTAGAGTAAGCTGTGCTTTCTAGGAGCAAAATTGGTTTTATCTTGGATCATAGGTAGCAAAGATGGTGAARTTTTATTGGTGTTTTTAATTAGGGTTTTTAATATGTAATATGCAAGGGTTYCGTTCTCATATGTTTTGCCAAGTGAACCATAATGTAAAAAGTATATTTTAAATGTTAAAGCTTAATTTCAAAATCAACTGTCTCAATATTTAAAAAGTAAACAGAAACTTGTAATACCAACAAAAACTGTCTTTTGAAAAAAAAAAAAACTGGACCAAACCCAAACCTTTAATCTGATAATGTGCTGCCTTTACATATATTATTTTCTTCTTTTAAAGGGTCTAAACCATCTAAATCAGATAATGAGGTTTGAAAAATCCCTGAGGATGTTTAGGAGTAATTATCTCAGGTGCTTCCTTGTAAGCTGCCTTTGTTGCCTGCTGCCCTTCCAGGGCTGCTCAGCCTCTAAAGGAGATGTTAAAGTGCTGATTCTTCTACATACTGCAAGCTGAGCCAAAGTTATTCTTTTCTCTTATACACTGACATTAATAAAAATTATATTAATTTTACTGTCCTTTAGGAATCCCATACCAGAATCACAGTGGAAATTAAATAAACTGTTTTCTTACTGATCAGTGATATAAGTACACTTTTCAGTCAGTCTTATTTTTATGGCTTTGTAGAACTGACTTGTAAAATTGAACATTCCTGTGTACATTGTAGTTGTCTACCCCTTTATTACAGTATTGCAGTACATACTGTAAAATAAATAAGTACCAAGACAACCATAAATAGCATGGTTAATGTCACTRCAGTTCTTTATAAATACATGTATGTGTGCATACACATATATAATCATTCAACTATGAAAAGGTCATTCCAAGCAAATAGTACATATGATTTTGATTTTGCAAACAAKCATGAGACAAATTATTTTCCTTTTTATTTGTGTTTAAATGTAAGGATTTATTTTTTCCTCTATTACTGTGTGATCCTTTTGGCAGTTAGTTACCAACTTTTCAGCCACACATCATGGGATGCTGGAACTCTTGGAAGCCTTTCGATTCTATCTGTGGGAAAGCATCTAATTCTTGGAAATTAATTTGTTTTGAATTTACTGCAAGCTGTTGCTTATTCAGATCTACAAGGCTGTGTGGCACAAGCACCCTGAATTACAGCATCCTGGGGGAATGTGGAAATAGTGTGAGCTGTATCAGATGTGCARYGTGGATGTCCAAATTGGCGCCTTYCTTGTCTCATTCTAAGAAATCAGGMGAGCTGCTCTTCCTCTTGGCTTCCTGCTGGTGCTGCTGGGGATGATATGTGGTGTGACCTTCCAAACACGAGCTTGTGCAACAGCTCTTTGTCCTGCCTCATTCCCTTGTTTGTTGCCCAAGCTGGGAAGGGGTGCCCARTGTTTGTGTCTGGAGATGGAGGTGCACGTTGAGCAAAAAGAGATTCATAGGCTCACCACAAAGGTTTAGCTTTAAACTGGGTCTTGCCTAATTTGCCTCTTGGTCATTCCACCTTATTTAGTGCATGTTCTGGCTTTCCTGGAAGCCTTTTACTTTATGGTGTGTTTTTTTGAGCAGTTTTCTGTGGTCTTTTGTTTTTTGCAATTGGCCCATGTCACCTTCTAATTTTGTGTTAGCCTAGACTGGATTTGGAAGTAGTAACTCACCAGCTAAATTAATAGCTTGTCTGAGATAAAATGATGTTTGTAGGAAAGTCGATTTTTAGAAAAAAAAAAAATTAAGCCTAGTTTCAGTCTTTAAAACCATGTCAGGATATTTTTATATAAAGGTGCATTATTCATTCTTTTCAGCAAAGACAGTAGTTGCTCCTAGACTGTGATGGGCTGTTTCAGTTTATGTGGGTGTCTTTCAGACCATTCAGGGGGAAAGAAGCCTCACTGCATTTTCAGACTTCCTAAAATATGTGTAAAACTGCTTTGCAAGCGACATTTAGTTCTTTTTTTTTAGTTAGTATGTGTAATTGTAAACATTCATGTGTTTTAGGTCATTTCCTGTGATTAGTATCCTTCTGGAACAAATATCTACAGTTGAGAATATCTGTGAAGCAGGAAACTGAATCTTATTTGCATTCTCCCTTACCCTGGAGGCATCAGTCTGCATTATTAAATGTTTTGGGTTTGTGACAGAATCTGCATGAAGTTCAGTGTCTATATTTAGATTTCATTAGGTGCATGCAGAAATATGAATGTTCTCATTGTCATTTCATCCAAAGTCTGTGATGGATACCTGCTGGATTTTGAGAAACTTCTCTTCAGCTAGGAATTAACAACACAAAATCCCATGTATGATATCTCCTGGATCTAAATCACTTCATTTGGTGGTGTATCCTTGGGCTGTTTGCTCTCAGTGCTGCACAGTCGTGTTGCATTGAAATCATATCAGAGCCAGCTTTAGAGTGAGAAGTACCTGAGCAAGAAAGTCTGATGTGTAACAAAAACATTGTAAAATTCGTAGATCTTTATCTTGCCAAAGGGGAGGGAAAGGAACTGTATATACAACAATACCTCACTGCAAGATGAAAGTGAGCTTGGAGTGAGGTGAGCAATAAAACATTGCACTTGTCTTAAAGTACTGCTGCTCACAGAGACAGGTGGTTGGGGCAGGCAGCTAATCCTTGGAGCAATTTGCAAGTTTTTAGTCAAGACAGATTTAATATATGTGGAAAATAAGGTTTGTACCTTCTTTCTAAGATCTGGGCAATTCCCTTTTACACAGAAAAGGTGAAGTGCACCTGCAAGGCTTCAGTAATTTCAGATCCCCTGTGCTCAGAATGAGTACAATATTGATCTGCAGAAATAACCAGAACTACATAATCTATTAGAAACCATCTGGTTTCAGGCACTGGAAGGTTCCAGTGTCATCTGGGTGAAGAAGAACAGGCATTTTGTGTGAAGCACACAYTGGGCTGTTTCAGAGGTGCTCTGAGGCTGGGTTTTATATCTGTGGTGAGCACAGGAATGCCTCCTTCATTTCCTGCAAAAACAGACATGGCCAAAAATAGGCAGGAGAGAGGAATAGCGTAACATATTCCTGTAGAGCTGAAATAAAGATGAGGTCAACTGCATTTTTATCTTCTATGCTTGCATTTGGTACTTCAATTAAACATGGAAACTCATGACCTCATTAGATTCTTGAAAAGTAAATGCCATTAACATCGATAGTCTCTGTCTTTCTTAATAAGCCTTTCATGAAAAATAGGCCACAATGCAAACCATGCCTCAGCTAATGACCCGTGACCTGAAGATGAACTCAGACATTAATAGAACCTATTAACAGTGTAAATGTAATAGCTCAGTGGGACGATATAGTCCAGCAATTAATAAGTTCACATGAAGTTCAACAGAACAAGAAKGACAAAAAAAAAATCARTTTATTCACCAGTATGGCYRAGGTTCAAACAGGATTTATTTCTGAATTTCCTGTGGATGGTAAGGATCTTGAATTCTGTGTGCAGCACTAGCAGAAAGGAATCTGTATTTTTGGCTCTGTGATTAGGAAGTTCTCTGTTCTTCCATCTCTGGTTTATTGATCAGGTGAGGTTCACCTATAATACAGAACTCTCTTCTCCTGCCATCARTGAAAAGGCCCTGGAAGAGGCCACTCACTTGGGCAGCTCCTCTTCTTGTCTGGCRTTACCTGAGAATTGTGCAGGGCCAGATTTATGGATCTATACTATTTCTGTGGATGGCAATCGATCCCTAAAATTCCAGTACTGTTCAGGATATTGGGATTGTATTTCTGCATTTCTCAAGTACTTGTACATCTGTCTTTGCTCTTGATTTCACTTATGTGGCCTCACTGGGGGAAGGAAGGGAAAGGCAGTGGAACAATATGGTGAGGTTTGACTGGGCTCAGACATTAAATCATATTGCTTTTATTGTCACATTATCTTTCATTTCAAAATAGGAATAGAGCAGATGTTTCTTGACTCCTGTGCTCAGTCACTAGGTCACCACACATTTTTAACAGAGCTCCATTGTTGCATTGCTTGGGTGGATGGTCTGCTAATAACCACTTGGGGCTGAGGAACACACGGCACAGTCATTCTCACCCACTGCATCAATACCCTCATTTCACTCCTGCAGCATTTTGGCTCCTCTTCTTCCTCGTGCTGTAACTGATGAGCATTGAGGGGCCATGGCAAGTGGGATCTTAGGAAAATTGTGTAAGCCTCAGGGATGATGTTTCAAGTGGAAATACTTCTAACATTTCTTCTGTAAGGTTGTGACAAGAAAGTGAAAGAAATGGGGAAAATAATGTATTTCAATACTTAGGGTCAAGGAAGAGTATTAGGATATGGGAGCAAATCTGTACAGTGGGAAGGATTTTATCCCACCTCCTGGCTGAGGAAAAACTTGTGAACTGAATACAGGCTTGGGAAGAGTAGTAAAGGCTACTGCAAATTGCTTACTCTAATCTTTTCTGAGATGAGTAGGAAAAGCAGTTTTGATTTGGGGTGATGAGGAGTAATAATACCTCCTGGGTTTTGCTAGTGGCTGTGAATAYGTAATAATGCATAATCTGAAAACAGCAGTGAGAATCATCTCTGAGCAGTGGTTTGTACAACTTGTAGATTGTTTCAGGCGTTTTCTTTAATTACCCTTTGCACGTTGCTGCAGCTCCCGTCTGCTGCACCTGCACTGGCTAGTGAAGGATGGGAAAATGGCATTCCCTTATCCCCCAAGGCAGGAATCCCACTTATCTGTTCTGGAAACATCAAAAACTGTGGCAAATTAGGTGAACCGGAAACCTGAAGGGAATAACCGAAACTCTCTCCTTTGACACCTGTTAGCTCCTTTTGCTTCAGCATGTGGGATTGTTTGTGATGAGAAAGTTCTCACAAAAATGAAATCTGTGAATGTCACTCTAAAGCTCAGTCACAAAGTCTTCCCTCAGTTCTTTATTTATCTGATATCTCARATACTGTTAAAAGTATTTCAAGGTTAACTCAAGACTTCAAAGTGATACAATTTAGTTTTTTCATTGAAAACACACAATATGGGGTTGTGAGTTTCACATGCTTTTCTGTGGGCATTGTCTTAAGAATGCYTCATAGTGATGCAAGCAAAAAATCACAACTGCTGGGTATATTGACTTCATTTTCACAGCCCACAGTAGGTATTTAGGAAAGTTTTTTATTGRTGTTAAATGAAGCTGACAATATTCTTATGGTTGAACTACAATCCAGTTAATTTGAAGTTTAATATCTTTCATACCCTTTTAGTTATGAGTTCAGTTCTCGTATATACTTTCCCCTTTCCTTTTTCCAGGATAACATTCATTGGTGAGGTGAGTCAGTAAATCTGCTTCAGYCTGAAATCCTCAGGGGTGATTGTTAACAATGAGGTTTGGTTTATGCAGTTTTACCTCAGTAGGGATTCCTGTGGCACAGAGGCTCCCTTTACCTAGACAAAAACCACGRACTGTCTGGAAGAACCAATTCTGCTGTGCTGGGGCATCCATCTGTGTGACAATGAGAAACATCTTCTGTTAGCCCAGGGGTAGATTGCAGTGTTTGCACTGCACCCAGAAATTAGTTAGAAGTTCTTTTCGTGCCTTGTAAGGCTGCCTGGTTTTTCACTTTAGCTTTCTTAATGTTGCAAACTCAAGTGGAAAAGAAACTTGCCAGTGTCACTCAAGCCAGCAGAACAGATTCTGAAGTCCTTTGGAATGTAATATGATGTTGTACTTCTGAAGTCGCATTTCAAAGGAAAACCACTTCTAAAACCTTTCCATTTAAGTGCAAAGCAATAATCTTCCTTTTAAGAAGTGCTCAGAAGCTCTAAAATTTCTAGTAAAGTGATCCTGGAAAAATACTTGACTTTCATATTTTGTTACTTTAACTTTCCTTCTGGGAATGCAGTGCTCTAATGAACATGTAAAAAGGCAAGTGTCAAAGGATGCCAGCAGCAGYTAAAGCTTTGCAGCAGGAAAACATCTTGTGGTTGCATTAGAAGAGATTTTTGATCAAATCCAAGAATTTATTTTCCTCATTATTTGAAATGCTGGTGCAGAGATGTCATCCTTGAACCTGGGGGGAAATTTTATATGGAGTGGCTGTTGTGYATGGGTACATTTATTTGTGCATGAAGTCCTTTCCAAGTTATCACGCCAGGGTCAGTGATAAAGTGCTGAGCAGGACTTGGCTGTGCTGAAGTGAAGTGGGGTCACTGGAGCTGAGGAGCAATCCCAGCAAGAGTCTGTGTGCCCTGGTCCTGTGAGGGTCGTGTGGTTTTCAGAACATCACTGGGGGCTCTGAAGGAATGGTGCAAATAAACGAATGGAAAAATGTATTTGAAGATATGCCTTAAGTAAGGACACACAACCAGGCATTCATCAGAATTTCCTGTGAAAGAAAGTTGCAGCTCAAGGTGCCTTGTTCGAGACGTGTTGGTCAGAAACATTCATTTGTCAAATTGAGGAAATCAATTTTTTCTGTCTAGGAAACTTTAATAAGTCTGAGGTGCRTTCCTAATTAATGAATATTAAATGAACACTGGAAATAAAGCAGGTGTTTTGAATAATAGGCAGTTTTCTTTAATCCATGATAAGTGATATAGTCTAAAATACTACATTTTAAGGTAGAACACATACACCATCAAGAAAAGCTGTAGTTGTCTGAGTGGATTTGCCAGTTTGGAGGAATGGACCATGAGCAAACTGCTTTCATTGATTGTTTTCTCTTTCTGAGAACCTGTCTTGAACTTGCTGAAGATGTCAGCAGATCTGCAGTATCGAAGGCTATTGGATGGTCCCATGCTCCAGAGCTGTGTGATTTGGCATTTGGTATTACCTCAACCACTTGGCTTAATTATATTGTGGAACTTATCCTGAAGGTGAAGACTGAAAGGTGTAATTGCACACAGAYATCTGCCAGTTTGATTTTTTCCTAAAGCATGGTGTAAGAAGTTTTATGAGGCATCCCACTTCTTAGAAGAAAAAAAAAATTCCACTGCTTTTTATCTCTAGAAATGCAGTTTCTTATGAAAATTGCCTTCAAATAAAGGGATAGTCACATTTATGTCATTGCTGAATAAGACTTTGGACCTTTTACAGTTAAATTTCTCTGGTTTAAAGTGCGTGTGTGCACATTGGTCAGTGTGAATTGTGTAACAGTGGTTTGTGTGGGACTTTGCAGCTCAGTGGTTGTTGCTGGAGGGTGTCACTGGTTCAGAGCTTTGACACCCRACTGTTGGAGGCTGGAGCCAAATASCACAMTGTAAATGCATTTCTGCTGCAGCACGGGGAGGGGGTGAAGTTGGACTTCTCAATTTATGAGATTCCAGCTTGACATTGCCCAATGATCACATGGGCACACAGAACAGGAAGGGGTCAGCTTGGATTTAGGAGATGCTTTACCTGTGCCACTGCAGGGCTCTAGAGCAGTTCATAGGTGAGTGCAGCTGTGGGWGGGTTGAATTTTGTTACCACAGCTGCAGCTTTTCATATTCTTGTGATCTGGGAGGCTTCTTGAAAATACGAGTTGTTTTGCTGATCTATCTGAAAGTTTTTTGTCTGAGAACTTCCACAGAATTTCTTTTGCTCTAGMAATAGCCTGCATTTCACTCAGAAATTTCTATTAGAATATTTTCAAGTGATTATTTTGTATTATGTGAAACAATTTGGTCAGGTTTACCTGTAGCTGAGTGTGTACAGTGGCATATAGGTATATAATAAGGCTAAAAGTTGTAGGGATCAAAATCTGCCCCTTTTCTAACTCTGCAGGGGAACCATCTGGAATCACCGAGTCAGGTTTCTTGAGGACAGAGTCCTGAGCTCCTGGACATCGTTCACCATTTGGAATGCTGGCAAGCAAGGCAAGAGGCTCTACAGAAGCTTGTCACCAGCTAATCAGAAAAAGGTGAGCTGGAAAATAACATTTGTACAAACCCACTTCTTCTTCATATTGTCCTTTGATGCTTCTAACCTAATGCAGCAAAAATCTCATWARATATTTTGTCCCCAAAGTACTCAWTGATAAKTAATATRAATTGGAGCAATTCTCAATATTCTKYRTGATGTGTTTCTTCTTTTAAAATGCTGTGRTACTTTATTTAGCACATATGGTGTGTATGGAGAGCAACAAACTAAGCATACCAACAGGTGAGACAGAGCTGTAGTATGCAGGTACTCAGGGTGAGCAGAGTAATTCTTTATTTGGGCTGTGTAATAATGAACTGCCTTGTCCAGGATCACCATACCTGTGTAAATTTGTCCAGTTCCAAAGTGGATACTGTGTTGGGACTGTGGTCCCTGTGATCCCTGGTCACTGTGATCCCTTTGGAAAGCTTGATTGCCAAAAGGAGGGTGTGGGGTGGGGTGAGCAGGCGAGTGAAAACTGCTGTGCATGACTGTCCAATTTACAGTCAGTTTAAAATGTGGAGGTTGCTTATATTTGGCAATGACAGATATTTCTCAGGGTAGATTTGTCCAAGAGTCTAAATACCTTATTTTTATAGCATTTTCTTGTGTGTAGTAACTCTGTATTAGATAAAGGCTTTAGGGCTAATGTCAAATGGCTGTTTCTTATAAAGAGCCACAGAACATTGATTTTATTGCTGAATGTGTTTTTCTTTATTAAGAATATGGATGGGAAGACAAAATGACAAATAAATATATAAACTTGATTAATGGTGTGGCCCTCAGACCACACACATATTAAAAAAAAAATAGAAGACATTCGTATACATGTAGTTAAAATTTCTGAATAGGCATGGGACACACTCAGTAAATGTACAAAGCAAAAATTGAACTAAATTTCCTGCTTGATATTGCAGTGCCATTCCCATGCCATCCCTCAGTCATTGCCATCACGTGGCAGTGGATGAGCTGTATGAAAAGATATTAAATGCTACGTGTCTGCAATCACTGCTTTGTTCAGAGAGGACAGACCTGTCCAATAAATGTGTTATCTTGGTCATGCAGTGCWGTGTGCACAAGATTTTGGGGGTTTATGAAAATATTCTCTTGCATCACTCTTTGCTGAGCACCTTTTAAATTTCACTGACCAAGTATGGCTGTTGTGCTGACACTCAGCAACCATTGCACTCCTGTCTCTGCAAAATTAGGAAAATTAGAAAATAAGTTCCAAGGGAAGAGATGGCAGCTTGTCTGGTAGATTTTTGAGATGTTACAGGAAAAACCGAGAGTGTTGGTTTTGTAGTGATGTAGGGATTTTGATTGTTTTGATTTTGTTTTGTTTTGTTTTGTTTGTTTTGTTTTGTTTTGTTTTGTTTTGTTTTGTTTTTTGTTTTGTTTTGTTTTGTTTTGTACCAAGCCAGAATGGAAATTGGTGCTCAGACAGAGCCTCACCCTCTCTTTGGAGCACATCTGCCTCCTCCTTCTGTAGGTGGCTCACTCAGGATTTCACACCCAGAAGTGACRCAGAGTTCAACRCASAGTGACAATCTAAAGATGTCACAGYAGAGRTGATAAAAAARGCAAGAGAAAAATAACATTGTTGGGGTTTTGGCACTTTGCTGCCAAGGAGCCAAGCTCAGCTCCTCTCCTAGGAAATGAGCTCCATCCCCCGCACACGCACCGGAGTGGTTCCAATTTGGTTCCAATTACTGCATCCTGGCGTTCCTTCCCACTGACCTTCCCATAACGTTTGCTTTGGCAGGGCTCAGCCTGTGATACTGTTTTGCTTCTGTCAAGGTTTCAATTGCACATATTCCACTATGGTTTGGTTTGATATTGAAATGCTGCACCGAGCATTAACCCCTGCATTACTGCGTTCTGTACTGGACACATTCAGCAAACCCACGGGCCAGATGCAGGAGCCAAGGATGACTCAATTTGCACATGTACTGCAGGAAACTGCTGCTAAAATCATCCTTAATACCCCAAACAGAGTAATCAAACCATGCCCTCAGTCTGACATGTTATCTGAATTAGTCAGAGACTTTCTCAGTAACAAATAAAGATAAATACCTTCAGAAAGGACTTGTGTCATCCTAAGTGAAAGTAGAGGCTTTTAGATAGCTGATTTCTGGTTAAATAAGTGTTCCCTGTAGTGATTAAAGCACTAGGTTTRTGTATCTGTTCAGTCTCATTATGATTGCCACTCTAACTTCTTGGTCCCAARTCTGTCCATCTCAGCCAGAACTGAAGTGCAAATTATATCCTTGTGTTTCATATCAGTCACTGGAAAAGGCTGTAGAAATAGGGAAAGCATCTCACTTCTCCAAGAGCTAATCAAAGGATTATGCTGCTGGAGTTTCAGCAAAGAAATTAATATAATTTGCAGTAGGTAATCTGTGGCAGTTTTAATTTTATTCCAAATGAATAACAGTAAAAGAATGGTAGAGAAATTCYGTATTATACTTTTCCTCAAAAATCCTTCAGGTATTTTGTGACTAATCTGCAACTCTTGCCAAAGACTCTAAAATCCCATATGAACAAAGGTTGTAAATACTTGTTGCTTCATCCTTTCCAGTCCGAAAAACAATAAAATGGTTTTCCTGTCTCACCCTTTAAGGACCAACTTAACAAGATTTAAGCTTTCAGAAATTCTTTTAATTATGAGAACACCAGAGATTTAAACAGATCAATTTAAATCTGCAAGTGGAATCTTGTGTTGTCTTGTAAATAAATTGAGACCTTGATATATGAATTCATCAATTATGCAAATTAGACACTTCTAAAACACAATTCCMAAAGCCCTTACCAAAAAGATGATGTATTACATCCATATAATCACCAATTTCTCCTCCTGAAGTTCCAGCTGGGTAAAACAGTGTGATCTTAAAAGGTCAAATACCCTTGGAAAAGCCGGTGATACTGCCAAGATTAGCTATATAATTTAACTAAGATTCAACTAAATTTATGTATGCTTTATTTATTATTATAACAATTATATTTGATATATAATTCTATTACTATATTATATATAACAACCATAATAACAATAATAATTTATTTATTTATAWATACATAAACATCTATTTTAGTCAAAGTATAAAACCAAGTAAAATTAAATTTAGACAGCTATGTTCTGTCTTGACTTAATTTTAGTTGGTTTTATACTGTGAGTCAATGTAGGCTCCTGAAAATTTCACCTATGTTCTGTTTGGCTGAATACTTTTATTGAGATGTAGAATTTCATCTGATGTCCTGGGACTGACTTTAGCTGGACTGTGGAATCACAGCAGGGCTGTTTTCTCAGTTTGCACTGTACCTGTAGAAAATTTGAAAAACATACTCCTAGGATAAATAATAACACCCTCCCACCACCAAAAAACCCCAAACCCTACTACATACAGCTTGTCTTATTTTGTAATTTTTAAAAAAGCCTGGACTGTTCTAAATCCTCAGGAAGATAATGAATTAATTTGAACTGTCAGGCTTACAGTGTGTAAGAAAACATCTTTTCCAAAAAAGGATGTTTCTAGTATTTTTAGAACCTGATAAACAAAGCAATGATAAACAAAGCATTTGCATTTCTTCTGTTGATAAGGTCTTTGTGGGATGTTTGAAAACTCCAGCTCTGTCCTGTGCCAAGGAGCAGTGTTTCTTAGAAAACAAAATTCAGGCAATTCCAGGAAGCAGCAGTCTGTCTATGTTTATACTCACTAACAAATGATTACTTTAATCTGTTTGGAAAACAGTGTGAKTTTGAAATATGGTTATGTTAAAAGAGAAAAGAACACCTCAGCAATTCTCTCTTTTCCTTCAGCCATCTGTATGGGGAATATTAAAATGATGCTTTGTCTCCAAAGGAYTCAGGCAAAAATCCAAGGCTCAGTATTTTTGCTAAACAGCAATACACAAAAAAATTATTCCACTGKTAGGTTTTTTATGAATGAATTACCATGATCTCAGTATTCTTAGGGAAATTYTGCTTCCTGGCTGTCCCCTTCTTGATTCACAGTGCTGACAGTGATTCAGTATTAGCATTTCTGCAAGAATGAAGTCAAACAGACCTTTTTTTGTTTGAAACACATACACTGTGTCTATAATTTGCAGCTGAAGATGGAAACCAAATGTTTTTGGGATGCTACATGTGTCTGGAGGGTTTCTGAGCKGTCTTGTCTGCTCTTTTATTTTCCATCAAACTTTAGCTAAAAGGAGAACTCCAACATTCACATTTTGTGTTATTTCCAATGGCTGAAAATAGTGCTCCAGTGGCTCATGGAAAAGCAGAGGAAAGGAGCAAAGAAGCATCAGCTCATTAGTGGCCTGGAAACAGAGCTTGTACACAGCCAGGCCATGACATTCCTCTGTGACAGCCCTGTCTGCTGGTGGCAAACAGAAAGAATTTTTGAAGGCCCTTTTTTCCAGCTCATCGACCATTTAAAACCGTCCATTGGTTTCCCTTCATCTTTTTCCAAGAGCAACATCACCAAACCATGTGTTACAGCACTGATCCTTCAGCTCWCTCCCCCAACCAAGGAATGGCGAAGTTTTGCAGCATTTTAACCACTCTAAAAGTGTGTGAATGGCACTGTCTGAGCCTGGAGTGGGGACATGTAAAGCACAGAAACATGAGTAAAGGGAAGAATATTACACCTTGATAGTGAAACAGTAACGTGAAAGCAAGTTAAAAGCCTCCAGAACAAGGAGAGAGATKAAATTGAAAAGTTTCAATTAAATCCAAGTATAAAACATCCTAAAATGATGTGGGGTAAATGGAGGTTTCATTTTGGATTGTAGTGAAAACTTCATGGCCAGGAAAATTCCCTGCTGATTCTATTTGTTTTGTCAGCACAGAGCTGTGCACACCCAAAAGGTGCTTGGCATAACTCAGGTAGCTTTATTCTAGAGGGATGAGASCCTGGAATGAGGTCCCAACACAGGGATGAAGGCAGGGGTGTGTTGTACATAGTAAGGGAAATGTTTTATCTCCAGTGTTTAGCAGKTTATTTTGCATGTTGGATCCTGGTATTAAAATTCTTAAGTGACTTTGTTATGGACATGTGCAAAAGGGGGAAGCTGCTGCTATTTTMAGTGGAGTAGTGTCTAAATGGAATAATGAATCCATGCTTTGGATTTAAAAAGATTTGGATTTAAAGATATCCACAGCTTCTGTCCTGGCTGTAATGTTAAAGAGGTGAAATAAAAGCAGCCCCTAATACAGAAAATCATTCAGATTGTGACTGATTCTTGGTGGTTCCATATCATGCCAGAAGCTGTTTATGCCCCTGCATGTCTCATTCTCTTTGTTATTAGCTGTATCTATTTAAACTTGCATTGTAATGCTTTCAGTTACTTTGTTTTGACATGAATAGCCAAAATTGATTTTGCTTTTGCAGAGATGTGTATTCACATGCTTCAGAGGCTTTCCACAAGCTTAAATGAAAGAATTATAAATAGAAGAATGAATAGGGTCACTAGAAGTTTAAAACAGATGGGGGATTGCATGAGTTGTGGTATGAATGCAGTAGGGAAGATGTGCTCATGTAGGATTTTGCAGAGTTTGCAGTTTGTCCCTTTGAAGGTGACTCTGATGAGAGCAGCTGATGTAATGAGGAGGGAGAGGTCACAATGTGCAGGTGACTGTTTATTGAAATGGTTTTCCAGTTTTCTGGAAACAGCTCAGACAGAGCATGTGCTGTGATTTCATGTTGTTGCTTTCTGTAAATGATTGTTACAGACCTAAAACAAACCACAGTGAAAGTAAGATGGGAGAATAAAATCCTGTGAAGATCATTCACCATAAAAAGACATCATTAAGCTGCTGATGAAATCATGGACTCTTTCAGTTTTTCCATTATGAAATCTGAGTGGAATGGGAAGTGTGAGGAAACATTCTCTGCAGTAGCCGATAARTTACAGAGGAAACAAACAATTCCTTGTTGTGTAATCACAGCAGAGCTCAAACAGGCAGGGAGTCCCAGCTGCACCCAAGGCACTCTTCTGTCATTGCTGGTCCTTCCTGGGCTGRACACTGGAGGAGGATCTGCTCCCATTCATCTCCTTTTCCCCAGGGAGGTCTGATAGCCCCAGGCTGGCCCTGCAGAGCCACTGTGTTTATTAGGAAGAGCCAGCCAGGGAAGGGCTTTTATCTTCCTCAAAGTCTCTCCCTAGCAGAGTCTGTTTCTGAGTAAATATCTTATCTTTCCAGCWATGTAAACTTTCTCTTATGAAGGAGAAGACAATTTCTTCTTTTTCTCTTACACCACTGTTAATGGAAGTGGCAATCCAGACTTATAAAAATTATTTACAGTAGTTCCATAGCTTGTCCATAGCAGATACCCGGCCATCTCCTCCCAAACTGAGCTGAGAAAATTGGCAGGCTTTTTCCTTTGGAAATTTTGTAATTGTGCAGATTTTTATACAAGAGATGTTCAAACAAAATGAATAATTTATATATTTTAGTAACACTGAAGTGTGATCTGGGGACTCTAAGCATCAGTGGTGTCATCCTCTCAGAGGTATTGCCAAAGAGTAATTTTGCTAAAATGAGAGGAAAAAAAAATTATATTGAGACCCTTTTATGGCTTTATAATTTATGGTTTCTTACAGGAAGACAGGAGTTCATGTGTGGATAGATGGTCTTCATAAAAGCTACAAGAAAAAAGCCCATTAATGCAGGAAAATAAATAGGTGACTCTGGGTTCATCCTGATAGTGTRTAAAGTAAATAACTCACATAAGCCTGATGTCCTGACTTCTCCTTATAGGATAAACAACTGTGCCTAAGTTCTGTATTTAGACTCCACACATAGCTTTGCTTTAATTGGAAAATAAATAGTGTGTGTCAGAAAAATAGTTGACTTATATTTCGGCCACCCACATGGTGTGCAGCCTGGCAGAAAAATTGCCCATTCAAGTCTGACCTGTTTATACCACTGTAAATATCAGATCTAAGCTGCCTGAATCCATTGAGAATTATACAGAGAAATTCCTCAGTGATAACAAAAAAGGGTTTCAGTTCTTTCCATCTTCCAAGGGAAATTTGTCACAGGCTCACCTGGGTTATTTTTTTCATAGAGGGGTTTTGTATGGGGGATGTTTTGGGGGCTGGGGAGTCACTGTGGAAAAGGCATTTGGCTGAGTTTTCTACACCCAGAAATTTGAGTKATGGCCCAGGCTGAGAGGGAGGATTAGAATTAATGGTAATTTAGTGATACAAGAACTRTCTTTRGAGAGAGACTGTTTACAAGRGTATRTAGACAGGACAAGGAGAAATGGTTTCAAAYTGACAGGGGTTTAGATTGGATATTAGAAAGAAATTGATTCTTTTTGAGAAATCTAGGGGGTTCTGTTACCTGTCTTATAACACACGGAGGTTGAGCAGTGACACTTTCCAGCACAGATCTTGCAGCTGAATTCTCAGTTACTGACAGTGAAGTGTAAATAGAATTTCATTTTACCTTGTCATGTTTCGGTGTTTGAGTTTGGTTTTTATTATCTATAAGAGCATAAGCAGCTTCAAAAATARCTTAACTTATTGGAAGGTGAGTCAACATTGGACTGTTTTTGTTCCTAGAACTCTGCTGGGTTGACACTGAAGGCATATCCTGTTAAATACTGATGATCACAGCTTCCAGCACAGTAAAGCACAAGTGGTAGAACTGAGATTTGCTGAATATTGGAGAATTTTAAAGGTGGTGGGCACAGAAAGAAGAGAATACAGTTAGGGAATCTTCTCTCTCCACAGTCACTTGTACCTGATTCCCTTCACACACACATATATATATACACACACACATTTATATATGTATATGTGGGTGTAGGCATCCACACCATCTGATTTTTCAACTACAGTGAAGCACTGCAGTGGGCACGGAAATAGGGCAGGGATGTAAAGTGTTTTAACCTGTGAAGGAGTTACATATGTGTTTTACTGTCTAACCCAGCAGCACCAGCACAAATACCTTGTGCAGTGTCCAGTGCCYTCCTGGCACCTCCCTGAATTCCCTCCTTCCTTCCCCTTTCCATTCCAATGCTGACACAGGGGGTGATGTCCTTAGAGCAATCCCTGCACCAGGATCACCCAGAGCTAAAATCTGGATCTGCCCATGGTGTGATTCCTTAATCCCAGAGCCCCACTGGGGAAATTTCATGTTTCCTTAATGTTCTATTCTTCTTTTGGTGCCTGTTTTTATGCAATCTCTTCTCCAGATCTGAATGTCTCTAAGGGGTTCAGGGACTATCCCTGCCCATCCTCTGCAGTTTATCAGCTCATTTTCCACATTGGTTTGGACACTGGTGGTTTGCAGCCTTATTTGCAGTTCCTTGATATTTTTGTTTGCRTTCTCTTGCCATTGATATTTAATGAAGGAAATGATATTATGGTGTTAAGAARACAGTGTTTCCCTCTATACAAACAGCATTAGGTCACTTCAGGTAAAAGAAAAKCATCTTAATCATAGGAAGAAAATGTGTGAGAGAGATTTTATACTTGGAAAGMGAGCCAGCCTTTTCAGCCTTCTCTAACCTAATAAATTAATAAGCAGCTGTTTCACTTTTCAAATTTTCTCAGCAGTAAGTGTTGTTAATCAATTTTTAATGGAGCAATTAAAAAGATATGAAAGCTGYTATCCAGCTTTCACCAGAATAATTGATTTCTGTATGACTTTAGCTGTCTCAACTGTTTTGCTTCAGCATAAGAGCTCCATGTAGATAATACCAATAGATCCAACGGAAGTCAGAGGAAAACACAGCCATGTTTATTTTAAAAAGTCTTCCAAAATTTTTCTGGCAACCTAGTGGCTCAGAAATAAGGACATTGTGTATTTTAGATGGAAGGCATTTATTCTGCCTGCATATTTATGGGGAATGCAAATAAAAACCCATCTGAAGTATCTGGCACCTAGGTCTGCAAATAATGCTTTCATAASTCTAGTAAGATAAGCAAAACTAAGCAGCAATTATTTGTGTTTAAACACCACATCTGCTGAACTTTTTGGTTGAAAAACAGAAGTTCATAACCACGGGAGGCCTCAAACTTGGTGTGTTATGCCCTGGAATTGAGTCTGGTATTGCAGAGCACCCAAAGGTGCAGCACCACTGTCCTGAGGTGTCTGGGGGTGCACTCCATGCTTGGGGTGGGCAGGGGGAGAGAAGTTTTTGTTTTATCTCATCTTGGCTGTTAAGTAGAAGTGTCAGAATGAGGAGACTGGTGTGGGTTTAGTTCACTCCCCGAGGATGAGGTTGTGTTCTCCTGTGCAGTGAGTGACTCAAGATCACCTGTCCTCATGTACAGATTGTGCTCATAGGCAACAGCAGAATTTCCCCAACTCCTTAAGGCATACCCAGAAAGGATTTAGTGATTTGGTGTTTAAGCTGTAAAGGTGCTTTGCCCTGTTCCTGTGTCCATTCCCATGCCTGCAGCATTGCTTACAGTGATACACTACAAGTGAAACATTCTGCTTGTTTTTCAGGTAACTGCATTTTGTGATGTCGATGAAAAGAAAATATCAAAAGGATTCTACACTTATGAGGAATCAGAGGTGAGTTATACCCACTCTTGCATTCTTTGTTGTGATCTAGAAATGTCCTGGGGAATGTGATGAAGGAATACATCASTGATTGTACATGTTGTGTAGCAGCTCATTTTGGTGAAGATGACAGAAAATGGGAGGGCTGGGAATGGACATGGGAATGCAAACTGGAGCCAGAACTGTCAGCTTCACACTCARTGAAGTCAGTTTAGAAAGACAAAAACACATATTCTGAAAGGATTCTGATGATGGGGTAAAACATAGTCGTCACTAACAGGTTTGTCTTCTAAGTGGAAGAAGAATTTGGTTTATAGTGGATAAAGGAAAGGAACCTTCAAAATTAAAAGTTTTCCAGCAACTTATCTTGTAAATCAAATTACCCTGAGTTTGCCAGATCCTTGTATCTGCTGGGAGTGGGACTSAGTGAAGGAGGGTGAGGAGAGCACCTGCTGAGGTACAGCCTGTGCTTACCTGGAGTAACTGTGMAGATTTTATACTGGGAAAACAGGGAGTGCTTTGAACTGCAGGGAGGCAATTGGGATTCAGGATTTTGACCTGGAATACTGAGGACTCACTGCCTACTAGTGCAGTAATAGTATGACTGACATAGATCCTGGGCATTTCTCCTCCTAAAGCATACCCATTTCCTCACATCAGTTGTGAAGATTATACTGAAAAAGGGGATTCTTAGAAAATCCTACAGTTTGAATCCATGGTGATCCTCCTCTGTCTCTGCTCTTTGCCTGCTCTGATGCTCTCTGATGGCAAAATGCAGCTCAGTGAAATGGCAAAAAAWTAACAAAAGCAAAGGAGGAACATTTGCTATGGGCAAGCTATTGAAGCTGCAYACCTTGCAATCAGATCAAAGAGGGAATTGTTTGGAAAAGGACTGAAAATAGAACTTGGAGGTGAGGAGGAAGCAGTGAAGCACTGAAAGCTTCTTTGAGCAGCAGAAAGCTCCAAATTCCAATTTGGTGTGGCTTCACACAAAACAACAGAATTGCACTGAAACACAACAGGCACTGAAACAAYGGGCAGAAAATGAGCAAGGTCCATTCAGCATCAGGGCTCATCGTCTTTTTTTCCCCTTTTAGAGTTTAGCAGTTCCTAAAACCAAGCTAGCAAATAACCTGTGTGCTTCTGCACCRCTTCTTCCTGCAGGAGAGACCAAAGCCAAAAATTCCTGTGTGTCACTTCAGGGATGCGACTCCACCGTTCGTGATCTGTGTCAAGCTGGTGAGTTCCACCTTTGGCTTTAACTGCAGTAGCAGCATTTGCTCCTTAGGAAAATGAGTTTCTATTTACTGTAGGTAGCTTTTCCCAGAAGCTTTTGCTATGCAGTTGAATGGCCTTTTTTATCAAACTGATTGTGCAGGGTATTTTGGGGAGTTAAATCAGCAGTATTAGGTAGAATAAGAAAAGGTACAGCTTCTGTAATGGAGCTGGATCCACTGAACTTCCTTGCCCAATACCATTACATTCTCAAATGAGCACATGCACTCAGCCTCCTTTGGGCCAAGCATTTTGCAGCCCCATGTATGGCAAAGGCTTTGTTTTTTAAATCAGACTTTAAAAGCCATTGTTTGGCACTGCCAGTTCTGAGGCCTCTTCTGTGCCTGACTGTGGTACCTTATTTCAACTGGTTTGATTGCCCTGATAACATAATTAGATGATAACCAGCGCTTCTTTTGCTGTTATAACACAGTGTGTGGATAAAACAGAAACTTTAAAATAGCAAATACATTGCARTGGTGAACACTGATAAAAACCTTTCTGACAGCAACTAAAACCTGCAGCTACACACAAACTCTGACATTCTAACACTGTGCAAGATCTCTTCAGAGATGGATTAGCTGCATCTCATCTCCTCTGGTACAGCCTGCTTTTAACTTGGCACTCCCAGCATCATGATCAACTCTGACATTTTAACTCTGGGTTGTAAAGCCAGACTCAAAGTGCTTCAGGGCATTATGGTGTGCTGTTAGTCGATAAACTCTTGGATCAGCAAGTACTATTACAACTAATTTAATTCTTCATAGTGCATATAATGGTGGGTGGAAGTCCCCAGACAAAACATCTGTGCAACCTGTTCTAAAGCACGTTTAATCTGTGAARCCCTTACAATGAGACTATTATACARYATCTTGTCTGCAAAYTCTGSTCTGTGACTTCAGTTGGGATTTCAGTCTATTTTTCCTCTTATGGCCACTGAGCATTTTCTGCTTGCTTATTCTTCACCAACCTAAGTTCATCACCATTTTCTGAAGAAGGAAGTGTGTTTTAATGGGCTTTATTGGCTTTTATTTTCTGTTTGTGGTRGAGGATTAGTTTTCCTTTTGATACAGACAAAACCTGCATGTTTCTATGCAGCTCTAAGAGGGTGATTTTGGAGATTAGATGTGTTTATTAAGTGGGTTGTTTACAAGAAGTGACTGTTGGCCATGTATTTGGAGCAGCATTGGCTCATTTATTTGTTCAGGCAGTTCCTCTCTTATGAGCTCTAGCATGGCTTTGGTACAGGAGCAAATCCTTCTGGAAGAAGCAAGCATCCTCTGATCTYTGCTCAGCTTGCATTTTAAAACAGCTTCACAGACAGCTGGAGCTGGAATTCTGCTCTGTGTGTGTTAGGTTTGTGCTGAGGAGAATGAAAGTGTGGCTTTAGCTGGTCAGAGCAGCACTTCCCCAAGCGTTTGTGCTCCGTGTTTGCTCTCACTTGGAGGTAAAAACAAAATGCTTGGAAATGCTGTATTGTGCCCTGTCTTGGCTTGGATCCCAATGGCTGGAAATRAAAGGGATTTTTATTTTTCTGTCACAGCCATTAAACTAGTTTGATTGTATGAAGTTTTCAGAAAATTTGTGGTGAGATCTCTTACTGCCTTTCTTATTGCCTTCTTCTCTTACAGCCCTGCCTGCTCTTTCCTGTGCTCTGGGAATGAAAGATTTGTCTTTAACTCTCCCATTTAATTTAGTTATCTGGTCTCTTATGGATTTTTTAACCCCTCTATAAAGCAGGTTATCTTTTTCAGCAAGCTAAACACAACTGTTCCATACCCTGTGTCCTAACTTGTGAAATCTTGGGTTTATGGAATCATTAGTGAGGATAAAGGTCATTTCAAGGCTGTACTTCTGGGGGGAATTCCCTGTTGATGTGAGTGTTCTYCAGACAGATTAGGGACAGTTTGGGATCTTAACTAAATTGTGAAACTAGGACTCAATCCTTCCAAGAATAAAATCCCAGCGGGTATGCCTGATTTCAAGAAGTCAAAGCAAAAAAGTACTCAATATCTGTCACAATCAGGGCCTTATTGCCCAGGTAAGGATTTGGTTTAGGAAAGTRGAGCCCTGGCWTCAAAAGCCTCRTGTCCTTGGCCCTTTCCCATCCTTYTCCAAAGCATTCATTAGTTATTTTATRAATTTTACAGGGTTAGTAAACATTAGGGTTCAGGGATGGATTTTATGTCTTGTGGTTATCTATTTTAGTCAAATTCTGGATCAGATTTAGTGATTATTGTCTTCCATGGGAGACCAAAACCTTACATTTCTGGACTCAGGTTCAGATCGCAGAGCAATTTTTTACTCCAGTTATTCTAGCCAACTCCAGCATTCCAACTCCTTCAATTCCACTTTCAAGTGGACTCCATTTCTGTAATTTCCCATCCTAAACATTGACATTGCTGTTTTGGGCCAACCACACAAACACGAGCAACAGCTTTATCCACCACCTGTGGTGGTGTCAGCTTTAATTCTTGGGGTTTCTTGGTGACATTTTTTAAGATCAGTGGAATTAAAAGGATTCCAGGGAGACCCAGTGCTCAGAAATGCTGGAGGTGCCATGTTTTCTTAATGACATCMCTGAGGTTGCTCATAGACCAAATGTACCCAGTTCCTGTCCTGCTAACTTGACTGGGGCTCACAAGGAAACACCTTTAACTCTGCAGAGTACTTCAGTTGCTTGATGGAAGGCTTTCTGTATCAGACARGCTAATCAGTGCTCAAAATCTACACAAACCACTTGTTTTGTTAAACTCACTCCCTTGGTCCATTTTTTGCCAAYGTTTGCAGTAGCAAACAGAAGAGCAGCACAAGAGAGGTGAGGAGCTGTTTGACATTCCCCCCATACTGATTTGAACACTATCTTTTCAACATACCCTTAATTTTTGAATAGAAACCTTTCTGAGCCTTTGTTAAGTTCTGAAAGTGGGACTTTCTCCTGTCCAAGAAGAAACCAATAACCCAAACCTGTTACAACCTGAAATGAGTTTGAGGTAATTTTCTTGTTCTTCCCTCAYAGGATTTGACAGGTGGAGTCTTTGAAACAAACCTGGGCATGCTGAACCTGAAGGAAGGGACAGATTATTATCACTTYAACTGAATCCAAGGTGAGGCACTGCTGCTGAAGTGTGTTGCTCTCTCTCTATCTGGGTGCAGGAAGAACAAAACTCTTCAGAGGTTTAGAATCTTTTAGTCATTTGTGCTTCATTAATTTAATCTTTGGGCTGAGTAATCCTTTTGTAAGGGAGGTCACAGTTACACCAGGKATAATGCTGTGTGCTGTTTTACTGTTGCACATCACTCAGTTTGACTGTYAAGTTGTGTTTTTAATTTAAATACCCACCAAGCACAGGGTTAGCAGAGCACTGTTACACAGGGAAGCCTCAGACATGCCTGAGGCAAAGCCTGAAGCACTGGAAGTGCAGAGAGTTTCCAGTCACACACTGGTTGGGGCCCTCACCCCTCCTCTGCTCCTGCACATTCCCAGCTCCCAGAGCAGCTCCTGGTGTTTCCTGGGCTCTGCAGAGGGCCAGGGCTGACATTCAAGGGGAGCATCCTCGGATTTGGGGCTGTGTAAGAAGCACAGCAGTGTCTGTGACACCCCTGGCAGCCAGCTGAGCCATGTGCAGCTACTCACCCTTTCCACCACACCTCCTCCCACTGGCTGGAATACTCAGGCTGTGCCAGCACACCTTGTGCTGTTGTTTGAACAGGGACCTACAGGTGTAACTTTACAACCCCAAAATCTTTCAGGAATGTTCTGGAAAGTTCCCTGTTAGTGTAAGAGCACAGGGGCTGTAGGTGCAGGAGCATTTCCTTGCCAGCACTGGCTGCTGCTCAGCATGAGCTCAGAACCACTTGATCAACARTCAGTGAAGAACCCTGAGCTCCACTAATTCCAGCTGCCAGTCAGCCTTGCAAGAATCCTTCAGAAGTATTGAATAATCTCATTTATAGTTCCTTTCTTCAAAAACAAACAGAATCTGAGCCAGCCAGGTTCGAGCTTTGGAAATGAGCTCAGTTTGCTGCAGATACTTCACAGAGAAACTGGCTTGGTTCTAGCTTCTCTGCCCCAATTTTTCCTTCCTTTCAAATTTGTAGAGATCTGTCTACATACACAMACAGCCACTGTTCAGGTGTTGGGATAGTGGGATTTAATTACAGCCATAAAATAACAGTGTAATTACCATATGGTGTGACCTGTGTATTTGTCCTCCCCATCACACTGATCTTGCTGAAGATCAATGCTGGAGCCATATCATTTTGAAGAGTTTAAGAAATGGGCTGAATTCCTGGCAGCTTCTTCAAGAACTGATTTACCTTCTTCAAAAGCAAGTTTACCACAAAAACAATTTGTCTGAATTAGTTACACAAAGAGCTGTTATGAGAGGCTTTGACATWAGCTGAAGTGAAACCTGTTTTTTTTGTTTGACTATGACAAAGGAATGACAGACTTCTCCACAGGACACGTGATGCTCAGGATGATGTTAGTATCACTAAGTGTTGCTGTTTTTACCCCTGGAAAACAAATCTTTAAGAGCCCAGAGCAGCAGGTCAGGTTTAATTCTCAGTGTGTGTACAAGCACAGGCTCTGTTTAGCTGGGGAAGTACAAACCATTGACACCAAACCAGACAGGTCGGTGTGACAGAGCACGACAAGAACCTGCCAGACAGCAACATTTACAACTGAAAACAAGGAATTTTGGTTGTCTTCCTGTGGCACATCTGTGCTTCCAGACAGGCTCTGCCTCTTCTGTCCAGCAGTGCAGGGCTCAGTGCTGCTGAGATCCAGGGCTCAGCTCCTCCCATCCTGACAGCACAAAAACCACGAGCTCCAGCTCCAGCCAGGACTGCTCCTCCTCATGCTGAACTCTGTCAGAGAGAAAAAAAAGGACAAAGTCACATGGAGCAGGCCTGGGCACCACTGTCCTGCCACTGTCCCAGCCCTGTAACTGAGTAACCTGAATAGAAAATACAGACAAAGCTGTTATATTTAGTCTTTTTAACACCACAGTTTGACTACCCTTCAGAAAGTTTTATTTGTACAAAATTTAAAGGAGTCGAAAGTGTTGATTTCAGCTGAAGCTATCTTTATTCACGTTTTCATCCTGTCATGTCTTCTCTCAGCCTTCAATAATTAAGGATTAAAATAAAGGGTTTTTTGAGATCAGCATTCATCTTGCAAGATCTCTATTTTGGGCATAATCTTTCTATTACTTGATTAGAAAATCTTTAAAAGAAATGCTCTGGTCAGTTTTTGTTCTAAAAACAATTCCTTGTCTGGGCAGGAGGTTCAGACTCTTGTTTTCCAGAATCATAAAAATGTTAGTAGTGGTTTTTTAAACTTGTACTAAAAGCAGATGGTAAAAACTGGAAAATGAGTAAAGAAACTGCTATGGGGCAGCAGGAGGTCTTTGAAGGTATTCATAGATGTCTTAAGTATAAGTCTTTAAAGAAAGATAAATATTTATATATAAATTCAGTAACATGTACTACTTAAAACGTAATAACCTCTTACAGAATCCCTACCAAAGCAGAAAGTTCTGTATTCTGAAATACTGAGCGAGTAGGCAATTCCAAACTRTCCTCACTGGATGTGGGACCTGCAGCTGGGTGTGTCATCTGTCTCCCTGGGAATGGATTCTTTCGTATACTTTTTATATATGTAATACAGATATAAAAATGTAACATATAAAAACATAGCAAACAATATTAAAACATTTTATATACATATACTTAAAAAAAATTTTGGTTTTGTATCCCATTTGTCCACAGAGGCAGTGCTGGAATCCTGTGGTTTGCACAACACCTCATGTCATCATCTTGCTGTTGAAATGGAGAAGGTTTTGTCTTTTCCCTTTCCCCAGGAAGGGCAGAGGAGCAGTGTCTGCACATCTGTGTCTGGAATGTGGTGCTGCCAGCCTGGAATGCTGTCTGGAATGAKGCTGGAAGGGCCCAAGGCAGCAGCTCCAGCCACCCCATGTGTTGTGCAGCTGCCTGGGAACAGCCTGTGGGGCACATGGGCACCTCCATGAACAAACGACCCCTGGAGCACATTCCCACCTCACCTTGGGCACCAGCTGAGGTCTGGGCACTTTCAGGAGGTCACAGAGGCAGTTGCGTCTCTCCCTCACCACGGGCAGTTCTGCTTCCCTGGGAGAGGAAAGGGTGCTCTCAGTAAATTCATACACATCCATTCAACTCCTCAAGTGATCCATGTCACCCCTGCACCACGATGTGTGTGTCCTTTCATGCACATTTCAAATTTAGGAGTTTTTGTTGTGTCACATTTAAAGACTAATGTACCTTTTTGTACCATCTTCAGCCAGATAAACCATAAATACACACCAGATCTGCTACAGGTAACCAGTTRCTATTAAAATGTCCAAGACTATTAGAGTTTTATATTAAAAAACCCCACTTATTTGTACAACTTTTGATTACAAGTTCACTAATTTACTCTCTAAAGTTATTTGGAGAAGTTATTTGAATTYGGAGAAGACTCCCACCTCTGCAGAAGTTTTCTCCTGAAGCAGACAATCCAAACCTRAAACTTAGAATCTTTCAAAAAGTTTCTGAAATGGTGCCTTGTCCAGGAGATAATTACCTCAGAACCTGTCAGTTCCAAAAAGCCCCAAAATGCCCCAAATCCCTACAACCATTCTTTCCCATGTGGCAGAAGCCTCCCCCTCGTGCTGGAATGCTGGGAGGCTGCTGGTCCTGCTCACCAGGGCAGGACATTTATTTGGGTTTTCTTAATCAACAATTGTAAATGAGCAATTACAAACTTAACTAATGATAAATTTGAGTCCAAAACTCTTGTTCAACAGAGTCCAAAATTATAGAGAAAAAGCAAAAAAGGGGCAAATTAGAAGTAACTTGAGTTTGTTTTTTTTTTTCACACCTTGGACAATTTGTCTTATTTACTACTGGAAATCTTCCTGTAGCTGAACAAAATGTATTATTTATGCAGTAATTTGTTTAAACTCTGCATGACACAATTGTATGATAAAGTCTGTGTAGTCCCAACAAGGAAAATATGTGTATCCCAATAATTACCATATTCCTTCAAATTCTCATTTGGCTTCCTGCTGCAAATACTCAGAGTAATTCAGAATTTAGACTGATTATTTTAGCACTGAGAGAGCTTAAGGAAAACAAGTAGCTCGTTCTGACACTCAGCAACAGCTTCAAATCTCTTCTTCTGTGAACAGCTTTAATCTAACAAGGTAATTCAGTTTTGAGTACACGAGCTCTTTGTCTTTCATCTCAGCCATGGCCATACTGCAGCAGGGTGCTCAGGGCTTGCTCCCAGCCAGAATAAGCCAGGCACACCCTGAAAACAACAGGGTGAAAACAGAATATTTATTTTTCTGRAGTGTTTTTCTGGGGAAGTATTTTGCTTTGATTTTGTAACCCAGTTGTTTGTGAGCAGAACTGAACTACCACTGCTTTTCCTGTACCACTGTGAATGTTGGCCCTGTACCCAGCCCTTGGTGACAGCACCCATCTTGTCCTGTGCCCCAGTGTCTGGTAATAAATTCTGCAATTCCTATGCAGGTTTCATAATGGAGCACTGAATCACACCCAACACAATCCTCAACTTCCATGTGCAATTAAACAAGGAGTTGTAACCACAGGCAGAACTGCTGGTGGTTACTCCTTCAAACCTGAGACTCTTGTTCTAATTTTGCACTGGAAAATTCAGAAAAAGAGCAGCAGCCAATCCCTCACAATGACAAACTTAGATTTCTTTTCACAAATACAAGGTTATTTAAGCTCGAGCACAGAAATAAACTGGAAAGCACATAGAAATCAGTGTAACATGCAGTCTGCAAATCTGCCACCCAGCCTTAAGGTGTATTTGTTCTTTGAGTTTGTCTGGGATAAATTTATTTCCATGAAATGTCAATTAAGAGAAAAAGCTATTTAATATAATGACTAAATAAAGTCTGTATTTTTCTACATCTGTTTGTTCTCTGTGATTGTTGTTTGGGGCAACACCTCCATGACCCAGGTCTGTGACAAGGAAAAATGTTTAACAAGGATGCAAAACTAATAAACTAATTATTAACTTAAAACTCTGTATTCCTCAAATCTCCCAGGCATGCAGCCTTTCATCARCCTGCCCAGGTGATGATAATGCCCAATGCTAGAATTTGAGGAAGGGGAAAATCCAGTGCCAAAATCCTGGTTCCCTGCTCCTGTCACTGCAGAGGTGCTCAGGGAATGATTCCTTTGCCCTGAAAGTCACTGGATCATGCTCATGGAGAACAGRACCCTCTTCCCCTGCCCTTGGAAGAAGCTAACAGTGCAGGTAAGAGTAGGTAAAAAACTGAATTRCATTCTGTAAAGTGGCTGTTTAATTCATGCCATCCTATGCCTGGGAAACTTCTAAACTGTTCCAATTCCAAATGTTTGCTTGAATACAACGCTTGTAACATGTTGAGTAATTACATTTCATGGGAGATTTGAGCTGTTCTGCTAATTCTGTTGTTTTCCAGCTTGCAGAGATCCTTCCTTTCCCCAAATCCTGCCAGTGCTCATTAATGCCAAGAAACTGTCTGTGCAGTTGCAGTTTGACTGTTWGCACAGCACCGTCTCTGGTTCATGGAAAACTTCCAAGATTTCCTCCCTTTTTATGTTGTTAGAAAAATATGGGTATTTTACATTATCTAGTGGTGATTTTATACATCCCCTTTCCAGTGGCACAATATCCTGGAGAGTTCTTTAGAGCAGAGGAATTCTTTGCAGCAGAATTTTCTGGCCTGGAAGCAATAAAAAGCTGAACCTACAGTATCACTTCTTACAGTTTCCTCCCCCACCGCCTTCAAAGGCACTGAGTGTCGTTGTGGCAGGGCCCAGGAGTGATTTCAGCACTAACTCACCAGTTGGTGTCACTGAGGATGGCCATGACCTGCTCCAGCACAGCCACATCCACCACGTCGCCGTAGGTGAGCAGCATCTCGTACACCTGGCTGGCCGTGGTCTTGCGCACCTGAGGGAAGGGAGAGCAGCTCAGGAACTGCCCAGAGCCATGGCACTGAGCTGGAAGGGACCTGAGGATCATGGTGTCCAGCTCCTGGCCCTGCACAGACACCCCAACAATCCCCCCCTGTGCATCCCACCCTCCAAACGCTCCTGGAGCTCTGGCAGCCTCGGGGCCGGGACCATTCCCTGGGGAGCCTGRGCAGTGCCAGCACCCTCTGGGGACAGAGCCTTTCCTGATATCCAGCATAAACCTGCCCTGACACAGCTTCAGGCCATTCCCTGTGTATTGTCACTGGTCACCACAGAGCAGAGATCAGTGCCTGCCCCTCCTCTGCCCCTCACAAGAAGCTGTAACTGCCATGGGGTCTCCCCTCAGTCTCTTCCAGCTGAACAGACCAAGTGCCCTCAGCCATTCCTCACAGAGCTTCTCCTCAAGGCCTTCACCATCTTTGTGGCCTCCTTTGGATGCTCCAATCCATAGGGAAGAGCCCAGTGCTGTTACTGGTATTGGTCCCTCATATTGGCTCTCATGTTAGAGTGAACACTGAGTCCCCTCCTGCCTCTGACAGGGATTTCCTGCAGGAAGGGACCTCATGGAATTCCTGTTCCTACACCCAGTGCAGTATTTCCCAYTGGGAARGCCAGACCTCTGTCSCTCACAGGGAATGAATYTGAACATGTGAACATTCCTTGCAGWGACTCACTGAGCCAAAGCCTGGCTCTAATTCTGGCTGCTGTAGGCTCACAAAACATCTCCCAGTCTGGAGGCTGGAAGAGGCAGCTGAGCTCTTGGAAGAACTGCTGGGAGATGGCTCATGCAGCAAGCACCATCAAATGTTGAATTTGAGCTCCAGAGCAGGGTGTGCCAGGCTTTTCCCAGAGCATCGGGAGGGAGCTCTGCTGTGGGCAGTGAGCTGCCAGGGTGGCTGCTGGGGCAGGACAGCTGGAAAGATGCTGAATGGAAAATGGGTGTTGCAAAATCGCAACAAAAGTTGTTATTTTCCTGACAAAAGCCGAAGGGCAGCCAAAGGAAGGCAAAGGAATTACAGGGTTATTTGTGGACTAGTGAAGCCAAATCAAATTGACCCATCTGTAAAAACTAAACACATTTGTGACGTAAAATAGCAATAAACCATGAAATTGAAATTATCTCTCTCCATTTCTTACAATGTGCCCCTCCAGCAAAGGATTCCTCATGGAGCACAACATGGAAATTGAATAGAAACCTGAAGTACCAAACTTTGCAGAGTTAGGGCTCCCAGATTTTATGCAATGAAAAAACCCAATCCCAAACCATCCTAAGACAACACAGATTTTAAAGGACTAAAATAATATCACCAACATATAATCTCTTGTATATACTCAGATTTCTGTGCCCTCTTAGTTATAGGAAGAAGTTAAAAAGTCTGCTAAACCTTCCTGCACCACACCAGCTTTTGTCACACCTGACAAAAAGTGTTTACTTTTCTTGAATCAGACCTACTCCTGTGTTGCTGTTGCAAGTCACAGAAATGTCACAGAACTCTACACAGACTAACAGGAATTTATCTGATTGGAACTTTCAGCACTAAATGGTGAACAGATCTTCCCTGGCCTGGGGGCTGTGTGACAAAAACAAACGGCTGAGGCACCTGCACTGCTCCCAGTTTAACCAGTAAAGCCAGGAGGTGGAAGGGCAGCAYRTGTGGCACAGCCAGGTTTTGGGGGSCAGCACTGCAGAGAGCAGATCCTTGAGAAATAAAGTCTGTTCTATACATTAATACCTACTAAAGGGAATGCTGCTTTAATACTCTTCAGATTATTTTTCATCTGTAAAGTATTGTCAAGAGTAGAGTTGATAATATGCAAAGTCTTCAGTACTTACTATAGGAAAGGGATGGCAAAGGAGGAGAAACAGCTGGAAGAAAACTTTCTCTCTCATATCTCCTTGAAATTGAATCAGGCCACAAAACCTAGAAAATACCACAAAAAAACCAAACAGATCTTGTGTTACAACTGCACAAGTACATTTTGAGGACCAGGATGAAGATGTATCTTGGGAAAAAGGCAGGGAAGGGGAAGTTGTGCTGCCCCAAGCAATCCCAGCTTGAAAGGAGAAAGGAAACTCTGAGATCCTGGTGTGTGACTGAGCTGCCACAGGTTGTACCCACAGGTACAAAAGTGAGGGGAATGTCACTGAGCAGCAGCTCTGAAGTCACTAAAACCCACCCTGCACTGCGCTCATGGACAGCAAGGGCAGAGGGAGGCTGGACATGGAGGGCAGCTCAGGGGGAAAGACAAACCAGAGACATGGGCCAGGCTCATCTCAGGCTGCCCTGCACTCTGAAACTGTTCCCAATAAAGAAATTAAATATGAAATATGGAATTAAATGAAAGCATTTCAATAAATGAAAGATCAAAGTCATCGCTTGACATTGTTGTAATGGAATTATTTTGCYAAGCTTCTGCTACTGAACCTGCTTTTGTTTTTCCTCCCCTCTCCTCACCCAGCACTGTCCTTCCCAAGTGGGAAAKTTTTGGTTTTGCCCTCTCTGCTGCCTGACCTGAGGCCTAAAACCAGACACTAATTCTGCAGATATTTTCAACTCATTCTAGTGCACATCTAAGATCAAACGAATTAATTATATATATTTGTCAATGGCACCRAGTCAACCTCTCTACAAAGAAACAGAAAAATGATTCCCTTTAAGCATCTTTAGGAATATAAACATTTTAAAAGTTGTTCAATTTTATCAGATCATATGTTTCATTTTAACCATCCAGAACTATGAAATTCTTACAACCTTCAATCACATGTATTTGGGTGTATTTTCCATTTAAATTCCACATGAACTAGTCCTAACTGTTACATCTGGCAAATTAAAACCACTTCACTTTCTATGAGAAAAGACTGATTTCATTAACTCACACTCCTATGCTGGAGCGAAGCTTCCGGATGTCTTTGGATCTTTTGATCTCTTCTTTACAGAGGGTGAACAACTTCACTGGGAAGGGATGGCTGAAATGGCAAAGAATAAARGATGAGCAGTATGTTTCAGCAGAATTTCAAAAACATTTAATGACTGTCAGAATGCTGAACTAACATTCCAAGGCAAGGGAAGGCACACTGCAGGATGTTTGTGCATCCCCCCCAGCAGCTCAGCAAAGTCTGACCACCAGCTCTTTCATTTTTTAACGAGGGAGGGAAGAAATTRTGATTAATTTAACATTGCTACTATCTGTGTGCTGAAGAGTCAACTCCTTTGAGCCRAACAGGTTCAGTTCATGCAGGAAAACTGGCTTGCCATGGCTTGTGTTTACAACAGTGTGGTATTACAGAAATACTATGTCAGGAGTTACATTATCCCATAGCCAAATAGCAGTTACTCAGTTTGTGTATCAGCCTGGCCATTCCCTAAGGTCTCCAACCAAACTTTACATAAAAGGGGATGAATGTTGTTCTTAACTACTCCAACACTGCACAGCCCAAATTCCTTCAGTGATTCCAGACAACGTAATTAAACACAGGGCTCACAGTTCTATTACATGTACAAGCCATGAAACCATCTTTAAATATATTTAGCAAATTCTTTTCTTTTTCCACACCGTCTGGGAAACGTGATTCTCACAGCTCTTTCCCAGACACTCATACAAACACAAGTACTGTTAGTTATTCCAAGGATCTATTAAAGAGGAGGAAAAAGAGTCTAACGCTTTTATTTCAAGTCAAATTATTTAATCTTTTACTTGCTACACTCAAGGCTGAAGTGCCATAGATGCAAAAGAAACTATTTCATATTTCTCTAGTGAGCACAATAACTTCTAGGCTATGTATTTTAAAAACCTCACTGCACTGGGTATGGAAAGCAGAAAACAAAAATAGTAACATTCATTTTCTGCTACCACAATTCAAGCTGTGGATAAGARCTACTGAAGAAAGCTGGGTACTGTCATCTGTTGAAGGGCAGAACATTTAAAATGTTTACAGGAGTGCAAAGATATTTTGTTAAGGTAATGTGCCTCGCTCTGTACAGTTTTCCACACAACAGTTAGTGGTTTTTAATGAGTTCTAAAAAAAAATTGTAACAAAATCCTGGCACATATTGTTTAAAAAAACTGAACAACAAACTATGGTAAATCAAAGTAAAGAATTCTACACATGRTGGGAACAACAGACTTCTGCCTGAATGAGTCTGTGTTTGCCTATGGACATGGACTTGTCTGGGTTAGAAGGGAGGAGCTCTCTGAATGCTGAGGTATATTTTTTCTTACCTTGGTGGAATTTCTCCTCCTCCCACCCCAATTAACACAGACCCTGTGTGGACAGAGAATCACAGCCATTCCTGGCTCTCAGCACAGGCCAGGCACTACAGTGAATTAGGTGAGATTTAAACTGGTTCAACAACAGGGACATCGCTGAGAAGGGRAGCAACAAAGAGACCAATTGGAACACAAGCATCTGGAATAAATTTAAAACATGGAACTCTATGAGCAGCATTTTGTGTTTAAAACAGATGCACTTTCCTTTCTGTCAGTTGCCAATTCTACATTTGTAATAACCAAACGTAACCTGTGTGATCTCAAATGACTCAAATAGCTTGGCCTCTGTAAAGGAAATTGAGAAAATTCCTTCTCCTGTGTGGGCACTGTGCCAGCAGGAACAGCATCAGCACTGGGGAAAGGGATCAGTCTGCAGTCTCTTCACATTCTGTAAAGTGACCACACGTGGTATTGCCAAAGGTGCTGGTTTCTCTCCTCCAGGTGAGCTGGGTCTCAGCAGCCACTGCCAGATCTCTGCTTTATGRCTGGTTATTCAAGAGCAGTAAAACTGCTTAAAAAAATAATCCACAGGAGCATGGATACAGGGAAATCATCAGCTGGAGATCAGTASGGACACAYACTTTCTGAAAGCACTGCATGATTATCAGAAAAAAACAAGAGAATACATGGATACTTCTGTTGAATRTGTAAACTACATATATGTAAGAGAAGAAATGCCACCTACTACCCAGAAAGCACTGGATCCTGAATTGTCTTTCCAAGGCTGTTGTGTTTACATGGCACAGACCCACCTCACCACACTTGTAAGGAGCCAGCAATGCCCAGGGCTCTGGGCATCCCCAGCACCACTGGTGATCCCTGMCCTGCTGGAGCAGCAGGACCCTGAAGCCACAGGAGCTGTGGCCAGCAATACTCCAGTGCCAGCTCTGCCAGTGGCCTCAGTTTGCTCTCCTTTGTCCTCCCTGTCCTTGTCCCACCAGCAGCAGGGAGCTGCCAGGCACTTTTGTGCTGCAGGAGCAGCCACTGGTGAGTTCCCAGCAGCCTGGAGTGCGCTGCTCTATTTCTGAGTGCTCTGTTCCAAGGTGTGCCCATTGCCTCCAGCAGTCCCTGACCCACAAACACTCCCTCCACTGTCACAAGAGCAGCCCCACAGACTGAACTCTGGGGTGGAAGCAGAATTTTTTGGGCTGTGTGACACCAGAGCAGCAATGACACTGGAGCTGAGGGTGCTGCTGCCCCGTTTGGGGGAGGGCACACGGGGCAGGGGGAGCAGAGGGTCTGTGATGCTGCAGCACCAACACTTCAGCCCAGAACCCACGTGCCCTGCTGCCAGGAGCAAACCACTTCCCTCCCTTCCCTTCCTATTGTGGCACAACTTGAGAGCCTGAAGAAACACCTCAAACTGACTGGGAGAAGGGACTTGCAAGCCAGAACAATTCTCCAGTGCCATTCACAGTGCAGTGATACAAACCACTCCTGCCAGCACAAGGGAGTGGAACCTCTCATGCTGGACAAGCAGGTTTATGTCACCTAAAGGCAGGTAGGAAATAACAGCCTGGAATACACCAAACAACTCTCTTTTCCCATTACAGCTCTACCTCAGGCAGCTCGGCAGAGGAGTCAGCTCTGAAAGCCTTTTGATGACCCTGGTGACACTAAAGCTGATTCATTTCCAGCCTCACAGGACAGGTATTTACCCACCCTYCTCATCCCTGCTGGCCAGTTCCACACAAAGCAAATCCACCTCACCTGAGCATGAGCATTAAACCAGGACAGTGGAGCAGAAACACCAAGGGGCTTACTTGTCCTTTTGCACAGAGACCACACAGCAGCCACACACAGCTTCCCAAACACTGAGGTTCAGCTGCAAAACTACACCAGAAACACTGAACTTTATGTTCAAAACTCTACGAGCTGTAGGGTGTGAAAAAGCAGGAAAATGCCTGGGGAGTTCCACCTGTGCAGGGCAGGAGTGACACCCTGTGGCAACTGGTTTTAACTGGAGCACTTTCGAGGGTCAAACTGATCCTGCTCCTAATCCTGGTTAAATTAAGCACTATTGGATAGTACCCACTCTGGATAGTACCACTGTTGGATAGTACCCACTGCTGATGTTTTATTAGAAAAAAAACCGTGTGGGACTGTGCACTGTTTCCATTTCAAACTTCAAAATACATTTGCAAATACTTTTTTTATAATGCACCAGTTGCCTATTTGGCAGCTGGTTGGGTGTAATCCTGATGCTAGACACCTTACATCCCAATTCCCTTGCTGAAACTCCATTCAGCCCAACGTGGTAAAAAAACAAGGGAAGGAAATTAAATGGGAGCCAAATATCCCAAGAAAAAATACAAGCAAATATCTCAGCTCTCTAATTTCAGGTACACTCCATGTAAAACCCCCTGGCACTGCAGGCACACGTGGCCTTTTCATGCCACCAAGCAGTGCCCCCATTTTCCCATCCACCCTGTGCTGTTCTTGCACATTGTTATGGAAGCTGCTCTGGAAAGGGCATAAATGGTTCCATTCAAGAAACCAGACCCCAAGTCAGACTTCTCTATCCTAAAAGGGGTAGGTGGCATCCAACAGCACAGGCAAGCCTTGGAACCAGGAGCAGTGTATCCATTCCTGAGTGCACCAAAGGACACTCACCAGAGTCACAAAATGCAAACATTGCATGAAATAAAATTTTGGGCTCACCCACCCACGTGCTGATCCACACCCATGGCAGAGCCCTGGCATTCCCCTGGCTCCCTGTGAAGGACCAACAGTAAGTCATCTATAGTCCCCTCTGGACCTACATTACCAAAATCTGACACATGCAGAACTAAACTCTCCATCTTTTTAGCTGTCTTCCAGCTGCCCACAGCTCTGCCCTTACTGGGYTCTGTATGGTGACAAATTCTGCACTCCAGGCCAGCACTTCACTCCCTTGACACAAGTATGATCCGCTTGGCTGCTTCATCATTCATTTTCATTTTTGGTTTCATCATCAAACTGCAGCCAAATACATCTGGATCAGCTTCAAAATCCTTCCCCCTGCAATAGCCCTGGATGTTATTTCAGGTCTTTTCCACAAAGCATCACAATGGCACCACAGGGTCGAGTGTGAGTCACTCACACAGCAAAGGCCTGAYGTTACCAAATGGTTTCTGTTCACTGACTTGGGACATGGGAGACAAGACTTTMACTGGAATTTCCACCCATAATCTCTCAGCCTCCCCAGCAGGGATGATTGGAGCCTGTGTGGAAGCCCCAGATCACAGGCACAATTACCAAACTGACCAAATAATATTCACTCCATCTGTCTTTGACTCACTTTAAATTCCCATTCAAACAGGGACTGCCAAATGCAATTTAAGAAATACCATCTAAAACCACACTTCAAGACAAGAGTAGGCTCAATCAAAACTTTTAGAATGATGAAGGCCTTTCAGATTTATCTTCTGTGAACAATTCTTGAATCAATAGACTCCCAATCCAGTATGTGTGCTTGCAGGATCCACATTGCACAATTCTGTAAATACCTGCAGATGTGCCAAGATGTTGCCTGGGAGTGCTTGCGGAATAGATTTTAATATTATTGAAATTTAAATCATTCAATTCTGAAACATCTGCAAAAAAAAACATGATTTCACTTAGGAATAGCTCACTCGTGTTTATCCATTCCWAAACTGAATACATGCCACAAGATTGAACTCTGAGGGGAAAAGCTGGGACATGTCTTTTTTATTATTCTTATTTGAATCTTAATTAACRGCTTTGGAGATATTCCCATTAATCAAAGCAGTGGGACTGGGGAAGCCATWGCTTGTAGGCACAGAGGATCCTGCAGCACTCCACAAGGACACTTAAGGCTCCCTGCACAGCAAGGATTGTACTACAAATAGCAGGGTTTCAGGAAGCTGGAAAAAGAAAGAACAGATCTGATACTGGTCCAAAYCTGCCAGGTGAAACATGCAAATTGCATTTGATTCATGTCCTGGTTGTGAAACAATAAACAAGCAACCAACTTCTACATGGACATGAGAATCAGGGATTTTATCAAGACCCTTTCAAGACTGTTTGTCCCACTTCAGGAAAATGAAATATTGCAATAYACACTCACACATCCTGTGCACACCCAGCAACAGCCAGGGCAAGATTTAAGAATCCTGTTGTACAGTGGAAAATAAACCAAAGAGACTTCCAGCAACTTACTTCTCCTGCTCRGTGAACATATCAAAACAGCCATTTGCCAGCATCTGGTCCAGCATTGTCAGGAGAGGCACAGACACCCTGAGGAAAGAAAATGATTCAACAAGGTAAATACACTTCTTGGCATACAGATATATACTATTTTTAAACAGAAGCAAAGGAACWTCCTATGTACCTACAAATATGTAAATCAGAACTCTAATTTACACAGAGGAGGGTTGCTCAGTAATTCTGTRTGTTGGCTGAACCATCCTCTTGGCTGGGAGGAGACATTCCCTTCCAGCCRAAAAAGAACAAAAATGCGAATTAACAACACACCTGCTTTACGTTTCCAGGGTCCTAAAAACACAATTAACWGTATTAGAAAATATTAATCTATTTTCTAGAATATAAATATGGAATAGATATTTTATAACCAAGAGGGCACAGAAATCTGAGTATTCCACAGACTGTATCAGAAGTTACAGCACCAAATGAACCAACACGTGTCAGCTGGAATAACCATGGCCATGTYTTCATTTCAACACTTGAGACAAGAAACAAAATAAAAATACAATAGTGATAGAACCAGGGAAAATGGCTTCAAACTGAAAAGGAGTAGGTTTAGGTGGGATATTGGGAAGAAATTCTTCCCTATGAGGGTGGTGAGGCCCTGGCACAAGGTGCCAGAGAAGCTGTGGCTGTCTCATCCCTGGAAGTGTCCAAGGCCAGGTTGGACAGGACTTGGAGCAACCTGGGACAATGGAAGGTGTCCCTGCCCATGGCAGGGGGTGGAATGGGATGAGCTTTGAGTCCCTTCCAATCCAAACCATTCCATGATTTTAAAACCTGACTATGCAAAGTATTTTGCCACTGCTTCTTGGTTATACATTACACCATAGGTCCTGTCGTATCAAACAGCTCTATTAAAGCCAATGCACGTGCCTTGGGCATTGCCCATCTCAGCAGATTTCAACAGATGTGCCACAATCTGACTCACAAAAGCTGAAAAGGGGAAAAAGGCAAGGAAAGCCATTACCGGTCATTCCGCAGGTTGTCCTCAAAGACCTTCAGCAGCGTCTCACAAAAACTCTCCAAAGCACTGGGATCACYCTGGATTTTCTTCATGTAGTCAAACAGGCTCTGGGCAGAGTATCTGAGCTGCAACAGAGGACAGGGCTCCAGTGAAGGACAGRGCAAACCCCACTGGCACACACAGAGCTGGGCTGCAGGACTGCCCTGACCCTCCAACTGCATTGTGAGCACTGCCAACAGCAGCCAGGTGGATAAAGCACTGACAATAYCCAACAGCACCATGCCTATTCTACCTTCATTAACCCATTTTCAGGGGAAGCTTTTAGGTTTTTTCCTTTTTAAGTTTCCTACTGCAGGGAAAAGGACCACATGAAAGGTTGTTTTCGTTCTCTCAAAATAAAACATCCTCAAACCACTATGATTATCCTGCTTCACTTCAAATAATACTACTGTTGTGACTCTGAAGGTGAAAGAGCACACCAGGACTTCACCAGGTAATATTAATTAAACTGATGGGACTGAACCATGCAGACAAGGTCTTGGGCCACACAAACCACCAGCAAAGGTGGGTTAAAAATTAAACACAACTCAGAAATAATGACTGTTGGTTTAACTTTACTAAGCTAACCAGCCTGCTCAGGAAGATGGCAGAGGAGGGGTCAGTGCTGCTGCTCAATCTCAGCTGGACACAGTCCTGGGGTGACACTGGCCATGAACCATCACAGGCTGCAGTGACACTTGACAGCTCTCCACAGCTTACAGGGACATTGGGAAGAAATTCTTGGCTGTGAGGGATGGGCAGGCCCTGGCACAGGGTGCCCAGAGCAGCTGTGGTTGCCCCTGGATCCCTGAAGAGTCCAAGGCCAGGCTGGACAGGGCTTGGAGCACCMTGTGACAGTGGAAGGTGTCCCTGACCTTGGCAGGGGGTGGGATGGGATGATTTTTAAAGTCCCTTCCAGCCCAAACTATTCCATGATTCCATCATCTCAAGGAGCCACTGTGCTTGCCAGGCCAGCTGCTGCCATACAGACCCTGGTGTGGGAGGGGAGAAGCACAGCCCCTGTGAGATCCCCATTTCCTGGGGATCTGTGCCCCCCCAGGTGACAGTGCACTCTGGAAACAAGGAACATGGGCTGTGACAACATCACTGCCAATGCTGAGAGYTTCCACTTCCAGGAGAGCCTGGAAATCAAGTTTCCAGCATGACATTTTAAAATTAATTATTAATAAAATAATAACAAAAATTAATTTACTTCCCTTGAGGATGCGAAGAAATACTTGTTTGCCCCTTTTTTTTTTAGGGTTATAGAAACTACCTCAGAGAAAAATATCTCATCAAGAATAAACATAATGAGATTCCTGAATCCTCCTGACTCTGATGTGAGGATTATCCATCCTGCTGGGCCTTGGTCACGTTGCTTGGGGAAGGGGGTGGTGACTCAGTTCTGCAGCACCARCTTCTTTCAGTTCTGGTTGCAAGTGCTAAACCAGTTTCTGTTGGGGCTGTAAGCTGTAAGTCAGCCTGGCAGTCAGGGAAGATTTTCTTTCTGAAGCTCATACAGAAAATTTTAAGAGCTCACTCAAAGGTGCCATCAGTCCCTCAGAGAACTGACCATTATATCAAGGAAAGAAAATAAAATATTGGATAAGTATGAGACATGTCACAAGTGTCTTCCCAAAAGCAAATGAGAGGAATCTCTATTTAAATGTTTTATCTAACAAACCTCATATCAGTAACATTTATGGGTGCATCAGTACACAAGAACAAGAAACATTTTAGCCTTGACTCAAAACTCTGAACTATTTTCCCAAAGCTTTAGCCTACATGCAAACAGCATAGCACAACAATCCTGGGAAGCAGGACRACCTTAACAGTTTGTTCTGTACTGGAATATCCTGGGCAATGCAGCAGCAGAAATATTCCTTTAGAAAAGGTCAAGCAATTTAGGGAAATTATTCAGTTATCCTGAGTCTCAAAATGACAGCCAAAGCTCAGTAAAATCTGTACAAGGCAGCTACACTGAACTGACTCCACTGAACTGTGGTCCCTTCACACTCCAAAAGCAATACCCAGTGTGCCCAGCATAAACTGGGTCCTGACACTAAAAGGATATGAAATTGTAAGAGAGATTTCCTGAAAAATTAAAACCTGCTTAATTATGTATTACCACTTAAAACAATCTGTGCATTTAAGACCATTATAAATAAAGAACACATTTTGTCTTAACACCTTCCACAAGCAGAGATCAACAGTAAGCAGAAGAAAACCCATCTCAGAAAAAAATAATTAAAAGGTGTCRTTTTCTCTCCTATTTCTTTTGTCTCTTAAACCACCTCCCAGATCTCACATCATTTTTTGAAGGAAGATGAATGACTCATTGTTTTCCCTGCAGATCCAAAAGACTTGAAAAGGCAAGAAAGGGCAGGAAAGAAAAGGGCAGCGAGCAGAGCTCCAGGCAGGGTGCTCCAGAGCTGTGCCAAACCAAGGCAGAAAAGCAGGGTACCAGAAACACTGAAGAATGAGCACAGCAAGTAATTAAACAACACAAAAGTACAGGTGTGGATAATCCATCATGTAACTGCTTGGGAGATTTTAAAATGGGACATTTTCCCAAGAGTGAACACAGACCATAGGAACTGGACTGGAAGRAACATAACAAGGTAACATAGAATGAACAGGTTAAACCCCTGTTTCCTCCTCACAAGGTGAGCTCCTTGTGTCCCAGTATCAGAGCTCAAATCTCAACTGCTCCTGAGTATCTGCAGAGAAGAGTATTTCCAAATGTCCTCCTCATCTATGCARAACACAAATTCACACTACATCAAATGTGTGACATTTACCTTTCCCTGGGGTTCCACACAGACTGGGAAAGGAAATTAGGAGGTTAATGGGTTGGAACTGGGACAACTTTGGATACGAATTGAAGAGGAGGCCTGAGAATGACCTTGTTCCTATGAAACAGTAAAAACAGTGTTTGCCAAGGGCTGACTCTCCCCACACTGAAGCCAAGAGCAGATCCTGCAGCGAGAGGCAATGCACAACACAGAGAGCAGTACTGAAAGGCACTGCTCACCTCATGACAGAATCCAAGCCCTAAAGATTTAACCCCCTGAAAGAGGGGACAAGCATTAGGAAGTGGAGCTGCATAAAGCAGACAGGCCCTTGCAGCTCTGGGCAGGTGCCTGGCGTGGTTTCTACACAAACYTTCAACCTGTTCCTACTCAGCTTGTTGCAAAACAGCATTTCCACAACCAGTCTCGAGGCAGCAGGTGGGACTGATACGGTCAAAAAGAATTAGCTTAGGCATCCASTTTGTCACAGGGTATCTGATCCAAAATCTCAGCCACCCATCGGTGATTAAGACRCCCAGTGCACATTCAAGCTGTTTGTGCTTTGCAGCAGTACCTTGGACAGACTGGCTGAAAAACCAGTGGGATATGATGAGAAGGGCAGAGGCTGTACAGGACATGTTCAGTGGATGGACAGACCCCAGTGGGTTCCTCTCCCATCTATCCAGGCTCCTCGGGGCCCCAGGCTTCCTCACAAAATTCAGGCTCTCCACCTCAGGCACTCCCAGTGGAAGCCACATGAGGAACTCCTGGGAAAGCCCAGACATCCCAAAAGCTGCTCCAGTTTTCCAAGCAGCACTTTGACAGGGCAGGACCTTCTCAGAGCCAGAACAGGGCTGTAACACACAGCAGAAACCCCRTTACACTCCATAAATAACACCAGGTTTGAATGGTTTCTAAACCTGACACATTAACAGCACTGAAGTGGCAGTAGCTTGTTTTCACTGTAACTTGCCTATCATTGTCTATTAAATTATAAAATGGTCTATCATTTAAACATTAGCCCAAGTGAAGCCATGTCCCCCTTGTTTTACTTGCAACATTCCCTTAATAAATCAAATCTTTGCAGGCCAATAATTCTGAGACTCAGACTGGTGATACTTTACATGAAGTAGGAATATCGTAATTCACACTATTTTTTTCTTTAAAAAAGAATGCCTGGAATTATTCTCAAGTGCATTTTGCTCAAGCACTGTCAACTAGAAAAACAGGATTTTGGGCCTGTTTCTTTCAACCAAGAATGCATTGATTTGCATACAATTTGTCCCAGTAACTAGCTGGTTTAGAATATCAACTACCAACATCCCAACTTTTAATCTGTGAGATGTAACACAGTAACATAGACCTGGTACTGCCAGAGAGGAAGTTTAAGATCTCAGAACATTTTGTTCTTTTTTGTTGTTTTTTTTTTTAAAGGCTTTACTTACAATTTCTATACCATTTTARAATGCAATTTTCACTCTTTGGGAGGGAAAGAGAATCTTCCAGGACATTCTGTGCTTCAACAAAATTTTGAATGTAATGTAGTTCAACAATAATGAAATTATATCAAAATTATATCCTGACCTCTGCAACTGCAGGGTTTGTGCACTGGAGAAAGACCAGCATTGTACAGTCCTGATCTCCACAGACTGAAGGGTTTTATGCAGCCATAGGAAATATGCATCACTGTGGGCCAGATGTATAATTAGAAGATTCTTTTACACAGAGAAAGTGCCCTTTGAACCATGGCAATGGAGCAGAGTGCCAAATCCCACAGGGAATGACATCTTCTGTTTTTCCAGATTACTTCCAATGCTTGAGCTACAGTTCTTCCAGCAGCCCCACTGCCACCAAAACACTTCAGAGACCCCACACGGCTCATTCCAGAAAATCTCTTTAAAAAGCCAAACAAAGAACTACTCTTGCTAAATATACTGCAGAGCAATTTTAGCTGCAGCAAAACAGCCACTGACCACGGAATTACAACAGAGCCTTTCTCCTGCTAATTCCCCAAGATGACTAAAGACAAACTGACATTTGAACTCAGATTATCTCGCAGTATATACAAGAATCTTCTTTCTAAATTCCATGTCYGTGTGTGTGTGTGCACAGATATCTTTTAAGTGAGAGAGGGAAGAGAGTCACAAGAACACACACATCACTGCAAGAAYACATATTTGAATAATCCTTTTCCTTTATCCAAGATTTTAAAAATCTGCTTCTTTCATATGGATTTAATAGGACTGTTCTTAAAATTTTCTATTAAAATCAGTCTCAGGATATTCAGCAAAGAATGCTACAGGCTTTGACAGTGCAGTTGGAACACAAGTCGTTGTAAGACACATCAATTCTAATTTGTGTATCACATTTTAGATATTAACTGTAATTCACCCCACACATATACTCCCAAGGGTAAGTGCCCTCCCTTGCCTTTCTAGCTGACTCAAAAGACAATTAGCTCATCTTCTTCCTAAAGCCCTTGAGAATATTWTAGCCAGAACAAGTCTTTAGTGTCAAAGAAAACTGGAGGGTCACAGAAAAGTTAACATTTCACAATCACAGTCTGAAAACAGTGCAGAAGGTTTCCCTTAAGGGACTGGCAGATGGTAGCAAGGGAAGGGAGCTACATGTAACTGAACTGTTTCCACTGTCCATAATTAAGTGCAACAACCAAGAGTTTAAAAAAAAAATAAATATTGAATAAGAATTTTCCTCTGACCCCAGTTAGCAGCCAGAATGCCTGTTTCTCCAAGAAACTTTCCTCCTTTTTRTACTTAGACAAATAACTTTGGTTTTGGTGGAGCCTCATATAATTAACTGTGTTTGACTGAAGGCTGAGTTTCATGTGCATGTTTGCTATTAAAGAAATCTGTTAAGAGTTAAATTGTCTAACYGATAATTACTGTCACAAACCAATACACATATGTTTTCAAAGTTTTAAAATAGCTGCTGCTATATAATTAGCTGCCATTTTAGAAACATTAAAATGCTCAAAATTGGTTTCAATACAAGAGACTGCACTGACACCAAATACTCTGCTACATCAAACCCAAGGGCTCACAGGCATCTCTTGATGCCAAGAGCAGAACCCACAGCACCAGGCAAAAAACATCACTTGGGCATGTTGTGACTGACAAGTGAGGCCATGGGAGACAAGTTCCAGATGATTTTAACTCTCCCTTCCTGTGACCCAGCAGGAGCTRTTCCCCCTCCACAAAAACTGTGTTTCCCAGCACTTTTCACTTTTCTACTGGTTTTCTTAACTTGAGATTGAAATCTTAATTAGAAACACTCTTAACCACTGTTGGGTGCTGACTCACAGCCTCCTCCTCCTGTTACAGGACCACTGGGATTTAAAGACCTAACGGACAATTCCAAAAATACTGTTACTGATATTTCTCTGTGGTGTCACATTGAACCATGTCCTTACCCCAACRGTTGTTTTCTTCTATTTTACATCTTTGGCTACAACAAATCATTATAAAAAACATTATAAGCCAAATATCTGGAAACCAAGAATTCTGAAACTACCAATGCAAGTTGCAATATAAGGACAGAAGGATACATTAAAATATGAAAAAGTAGGGAAAARTTTGGCTGCATAGAAGATTGCCAAAACAAGTGATAAAGAGACTGGTTATGCCAGAAGAATGAAATAATGATTGCAAAGCTCAGAGGATTGAGACAGATATTTGAATGATACTTCTTTGTAATGGAAYTTATGGCAACTCATTGGTGTCATATGAGAAAGTGTATCAAAAATAATAAAAATAATAAACCCGTGGATACTGTTAAGACCTATTGACAACTAATAGTTAACCCCTTGCATCAGGTGACAAATGAACTGGCTTTGAAGTTGAGCTGAGGGGCTCTGCTTCTGATCCCAACTGCGAGGGTCAGCACAGGGCTGGAAGTTGCGGGGCTGGAACTGTCAGGTTCTGTCAACCCAGAAAGGAGAAATAAAGCACCCTCACTCCTTGGTCCCTGCATATGAAGCCCATCAGATTAAAAAGCATAGCTGGATTTCTTGGCAAGATCTCTGCTGTGAATTCTGCAGTTTGCAGTGTTCCCTGGCAGGACAGGGTGCCAGCTCCAYCCTGCTCTCACCGTGGTCTCGGTCAGTCCCCCCACAGACACGGAGAGCCCCAGCAGCACGTGGTACTGGTATGATGGCAGCCCCAGCAGCTGAGTGATCCGAGGGAAAGCTTCCGAGGCTGCGTTCCAGTTCAGCGTCTCCTTCTCGGACCTGCGGAGAGGGGAAGGAAAAGAACCATCTTCTGTGATGCACTGCCTTTCTTCACCCCACACTGCTGTGACAGCTCCTCCACTCCAGTGAGAAAGGTCTCTGAATTACCTACATAGCAAATTAAATATTGGCCTTTGAGCAATTGGGGAAAATATAAATCAAAGCTTCAGCCACTGCCAGGAAAGTGAAGGAATCTTCAAGTCCTTGTTCTGATCCAGATAAGATTTGAACTGCAGTCACTTTTGCCTACATTCAGAAAACAAGATTCTTTCTGAATTTCATTCTGTGTTCTGCCCCACCATCAGGTACCCAACAATTGATGCAAAAACAGACTTATCCCAGGAAAGGCCAACAATATCCTCCAACACGGATGATCAGCAGCCTCGCAGACAGAGCACTTGGAGCCACAGCAGGCTGAGGTTCTCCCAAACACAGAGCTGGATGCTCCTCACTCCCAGAAGGTATCATAATAACCTTTCAGAATGAGTTGCTCTCACTCTTGCTTTAACTAGAAAGTCTATCTTGGAAAACTACTGAACTAGAGCTCGGTAAAAACAATACCTTTAACTAGAAAGTCCTTCTTAGAAAACTACTGAACTAGAGCTTGATAAAAACAATACAATTCAATAAAATTTATCATTATGATACATCAATGTTTTCCAGTTGAGGAAAAAATATGTTCATGCATATTCATAACAAAATTCTATGAAATCTTGACAAAGAGCACTAAATATTCCCCCATACATCTATTGGGCATTTGGGCACAAAAATTGTATCAGGTTGCTTGGTTTAGATGAAACTGTTTACATTTACTTTCGTTGGTTTAGGATATTTTTCAATCTATTACCTTGGAAATATCCTCTCTAGCTCTTCTCGATGAGGGATGTGTGGAACTGGAGGATGGTCAAAGTGYAAAAGAGTAAGGAACACGGATCCTGCATGAGCTCGAAATTTATCTATTTTTTCAGCTGACTGTTGAGCCAGCCAGCACATAATCTGCTTGCAGCTATAAAGAAGAAAACAATTATTCAGAAAATTTAAGCAGTAGAATGTGTATTTAGATTGAAATTGTTTCAATTAAATAAATAAGAATGGTCCTGCTAGGAAAACATTCTGGTTTAAGTCTTCAGGACAAACACACAAGTGATTTAAGTCATCTACAAGCTGACAGAATCTTAGGGCTTTATCTTCCACAGATCAATCAATCAAAAACCATCATGACTGCAATGTTACAGAGTATTTTATCCACCTTTTACACTTATTGCTCCACCTKTCATCCAAAAAGATCACAAAGTGCTTTATGGCTAGGATGAACTGCTACATTTCAGATGGAAATGGAGTAGGAACTTTGAGAAAAGCACATTTTGAAGTAGAAAACTGCACAYGTAGCAGAGGACAAGATCTCACCAAAATCTCATATATCCCAAATAAATCACTTCTTCAGTTCTGGCTAGTTTTYAACAATATCCTATTTTGCTTATGTTGATAACTAAATTCTCAGCTGCAATATTATGTACCACAAGGCCCTTTACCCCTTCAGAAAGTACCACTAATGACAGTAAAACCAGCTAAATTTCCCTCAGTTACAYCAAGACCCAGAATATTTAGAAAATGGGATACAGCTGGCAGGAATGCTTTTTTCATTTCCACATGGATAATCTATGTATACAACAGATCAACAGGAGGAAGCCCCTGAAAATGGGCACTAGTGAGCAGTGGATGCTTAGAGAATCCACTGCTTTCCTTCTAGAGTGTCCTTCAACATTTGGGATTTTTTTTAATTAAAAAGCAAACCATGTATATATATTCAGCTAACCACTGGCACATTCTGTCCACAAACCAATACCACTATTAGGAAAGTTTTGCTGCAGTTCAAGCTATGCTTAAAAATGGTAATTATTACTAATTTTTTTATTATTAGGAGTACTATATCATAAAATCAAAAATCAGGAGCTTGGTGTAAATTCTTTTGCTTTGTTTCCTTATTATTAATTCTTCAAAGAAATAAATACAAATTAATGCTCAGATTTGATTACATTCCAAATTAACGATGCAATACTCTGGGTAAGTGGGTGGGTTTGCTTTCTGTTTCAGTGAACAATATTGGGAAGCACCCCAGAAGTGGCAGGTTTAGCCCAAACTCCACAGCTATCTCTATTTCCAAGGTGGGATTGCCACCCAGGTTCTCTCAACAAGGTCAGTTCCTCTGAAAACCAGATGCAACACCCTCCACATCTGCGTGGGCTTGACACACTTCTGTCAGAGCTCTCAACAGAGGAGGCACAGGGTGTACAAGCACTGCATTCCTGTATGGCCTGGAATGTAGTTCTAAGAGATAAGACACAGAAAGAGCTCATTACATACATGYTGGCATTAATTAGCTCTGCCTCGTTCTGGACCAGCAGCAGCGTCACYTCCATTAAACTGGTCATGGCAGCTTCACGCACCCTGGAGAGACACAGACACATCACAGGAGTACACCAGGACTTATTTAAATAAATACATCAGTCAGGCTGAGACACTGGCAAAAATTCACAACAGCAAATGCAATGAGCTCTGACAGAGTTACCATATTTTGGGAACACAAGCAGTGTGCACAGCTGCCCCCCCAGCCCCATTCTGTGAAATAAAGCTCTCATTGCACTGAGGGTACAACATTCACCCCAGCTGCCAGGCAATCCCCTGCCTCCTCAGCCTGCTCTTTATCCCAGCCATATGTCATCAGGCTTATTCTTTATTTTAAAAWGGCTAAAAGTGACAATGATCAGTAATATTTAGCATGCACGTAGATGTATTTAAACTTAAGTGCTTTGCCKGCTTCAGACTATTTTCTGAAAAAGCCAACCTACATTTTGACATTCRGATATTTAACACTGTTAAGGGTGCAATATTATATAAATTTTCAAGCTTAGTATTTCCAAGATTAAATACAAGTTGTGACTCAGAGTGGCATAAACCTCTATGCTAGTAATAATTTTATGAAAAGTTTGACCAAAGTAACACTAAGTTGTGGTGGAAGTGAGTCTTATCTAGATAGTGATGATCTGCTACGTTCAAAATCTTCAAGTACAATATAAAAAAAACCATTAAAAGAGGAGTGTAATTTCAATTAAAAAAAAAAAAAATGCTTGTTTTAAACCATGTCTTGTCAATCCATGAGTTGTTAAAAGTGGTTTCTTCCTGAAGACATGGGCAATTCCATGGCAGATCCTCAGTGGGTTGCATGACCCTGCACAAGACCAGGCCCAGCATGTTCATCACACTGGTAACTCAGAGTAATGTCATCCTTTCTCAGTAATAATTTTTAAAAAAGGAAAAAAAATATTTGAAAACGTACAGCAGCATTCTATCAAAAGAAATACTTCTCTTTCTAATTTCCAAAACAATTTGAAAATAGTTGCAGATACAGTCTGAAACTGGGCAAAACATTTGTTATAATGGTAAAAAAGGTAAATTACATCATTTTTTCCAAAGCAGCTTAAAACAAGTTTGGCAGTCTTTCATCAAGGTTATGTTTTACTAGTTTTTGTATACCATCTGACTTAGATATTCATGTCTGACACCTGTAGACAGATCAGACATGTCCCAGCAAACAATCTGTCAAAAGAAAGGTAAAGTTTGCATATGGAGAGTAAAGTTGGTGAAACTTTCCCACGATTCTATTAAAGAAAGACAAAAATTACACACCAAAGACAAGGTCTCTCCAGAGAAATGGCATTTCTYCCCATATCTTTCCATCTTATTCAAYGGTTTAGRAGAAATAGAATGAGAAAGCATTGATATTTGAGAAGCCACAAAAGCCTTCAGCAGCTAACATTTTGCCATGAGAAAGGATCCCCCTTCCCCCCCTCATTTACGTGTTTCTTGACTTGATTTTGGCTGGAATTGCCCAAAGAACCAAAAAAAAAAAAGAAAAAAAAAATCTGGTGCTCAAAGCACATTTGAATTTTCATGGATGTTGGGAATTTAATTTCCTCAGGATTTCTTTGAAAGTTCTACTAYGTTTTGTTTAGGTTTGAAATAAAGACAGATGAAGGATAAACAATAATTGTGGGSAACTGCAGTGGGAGCTCTCAGATGTGGAAGTCAAGGTTAAATACCTAATTACACTCAGCCAGGTCCTCATCTCACAGTATCTCACCTGGGTGAAAGSACAAAGCTCAGTATTTCTTCCTCCTCTCTGCCTCCCCACCCTGCTCTTACATTTTGTCAGCTCCTCTCTTGTGACAGAGATATATTCAAATACATTCACCTCCCTCCTGCTCTTCTGACAGCAGAGAAAGCCAAGCTCCTTCTTCCRTGTGCAAGCTGGAATGACCTGCTCCTCATCCTGATTAGTTTGCATCACTGTTTCCTCTTCCAAGCTGGAGATGTCCAACACCTCCTGATCTCTGATTTCTTGCCCTGGGTTACTATTTCCCTGTTGTATGGCAATTTTAGCAGCTGAGGAGCTGGGTACAACTACAGAAAACAGGGAAAAGCCAAACAAACAAACCTTAACTAATGCTGAGAGCAGTCTGGATTATCTGCCCCATGAACTTGTCCAACCCATTTGTAAACATTGCAGTGAAGTGCTAGAGGGACAAAGCTCACCAGTTAAAGAAGTGCCCCAAGGTAACATGGCATTAAGTATCTTTCCTCTGCCTCGTGCTGTAGAACTGACCCTTCCCTCCCTGTGCAAAAACAGAGGAGATGTTTACAATGATTGCAGCCCAGGCTGGAACTGGTGAGATGTGACACTGCCAGGAGCTCCCAGAGCACAACCAGCAAGGTTTGACTGCCTGGACTGTTCTGTGCCAATGATTGCTGGCAGGGAACAATCCAGCACTGCACACAGTGCAAAAAAAAAGCACAATCACAACTTCTCTCCCTACACAAGACAAGAGGTGGGTACAGGGAGTGTTGCCATAGCTCCCATTCCATATGGTTATTACAAATACACTTCACTGCACCTGACCCGTTCAAGCCTAATGAGGAATGCTGGAAAGGAGAACAGCACTGCAATTAACTTTTTTCCCCTTTTTTTTAAAGCAAACCTGAGGCAACCAAATGACATAATGACACTAAAGTTAAGACTAAGTAGGGCAGAGCTCTAACAGGACATAACAAATCTGAGCCTAACCAAAGGTCCCACCCTCACATGATGCCCACTGGGCAGCACTTGGCCTGGGAGCAGCAGGCTCTGGCCACTGCAGCTGATCACAGCCACTTTCCTGTTCATGCACCACTGCTGGAAATGACACTCTTTCAGGAAGAGGACAGTGACTGAATGTCTAAAGCACYTATTTCATACAAACACTCTGCATAGGGATGATTGAAACACACCCCTCAAACACTCCATGTGAGTCAGTGCTGTTAAGACAAGAACTTCTTCAATAAACTRGGAAAATAACAAAATGTTTTCAACCAGAAAAATTATTTCTTGCCAGTACCCTTCAGGCATTTGCCCCTTCCTGCCTGGAATATAACAAAAGCAGAGCCAGATATTAGATCTGAACTATCAAAAGGGTGTTAATTTATAATCCTGAACACACATCTCTGTACCCTGAGACATTTCATGCAGCTGCCAGACAGGTCGAATCCACATCATTACCATACCACACAAACAGTATCACCCACATGTTAAACAAGGCTGACACTTTGTATCTGAAAGCACCATATATMTGCATACCTTCAAATTGAAACAATGGATTAAGACAGTAAAATTCAGTGGCCTTTTCAAAACCTGCATTTTACTCAAAATCAACTGSCAACAAATAAAAGACAAATAAAATTACTTTATCACATTCATTTAGTTTGTGGCTTCTCAACACAAGGAGTGAGTGTTACTGCTCTGAGGCTTCCACACAACATCAAAACTGTTGTGTATTTTAAATCTGCAGATACTGGATTTGTTCCTGAATTAGGGTAATTTAATGCTTTTTTATAAACAAGTACTAGTTCAGGCTGGGCATCTTTGTGCTCATAAACAAATGCAGGAAAGTACTCTGACAAGTTTATGTTTGTTTTGTAAGATCCATATTTCACATGAATTTCTAGCCTGTGTAATTCCACAGGATGACTTGAATAACACAAACTCCTCATGATCTCTTCCATTCAAAGAGAATGGGAGAAAGAGAACTTCCAATCAGTAGGTGATGGCAGTTAGAGCTTCTTTGGAAACTAAACAGAAACCCAAAGGACACAAGCCTTCATAGTGCTTTGGGTCATGAATTTAGAAATTGTCTTTCCAGATCATTGTTACCAAAGGAATACAGAGCATTCAGAGGAATGCAGTGTTATAYACAGAATCTTCTTTTCATATTAGGGGGACCTTGAAGACTAAAAAACTGAAAATATGACTACTGTAGACTTAATATCACTCAGATCTTATTAACCTTATCAAGTTTRTTAAACTTAYTATCTTATTAATCCACTTATTCTAWWGATTTCACATCAGCAGACATATTCCTATAGACTTATGATTTATTATTGCAGTCTCATAGCTGAAATTATTGAAACCCTAAACTTAAYAAAAGATTCGGTGATGCTGCAGCACAACTTAGAAAGTTTTCATCCCTCTCASTCACCAACACGTTATGCAGCTGCTCCCTCTCCTGGCAAAAAATCCCCACAACAGGAATGTACAGAGGGAGAGTTCAGGTAGGACCAAATGTGTTATTACAAAGAAAGAGAAGTAATGTTCTAAATCCCTGTTTTGCAACTGAATCCATTCCTGGTATTCACTAAAAGAAATYAGCATCACCTGCAGAAGCAGAAAAAGGCTGAACTTCGGTTTTGAGCACAAGAGACCCCATATTCCCACCTTCTGAGGAAAGACAAGCAAACCTTATCAGCCTTTGTCTTTCACTTTTTACTTCTCTTCCCACCGTGCATTTYTACCTCATTCCTACCTCGACTCAAATCTCCACAGGCTCAGAGCTTGTTTCTAAGAGGTTTTGAAAACACATCAGGGTTTTCATTAAACACCAAACTCAGCCCCCACTTTATTCCAGCCCGAGGGTCCCTTACCATCCTCCCACATCGCCGCGGCTGTCGGTGGTGTAGTCGGTCACCCCCRTGAGCAGAGTGGCATAAATCTGATCCACGTTGTCCCTGCAGACATATTCCTCCTGGGATCCATCTCCCTTCACACCCACTGTCTGGCAAACCCTGAACAAGAGGAAAAGAAGGGGTGGGAGGCAAAGTCAGAACACTAGCAAGGAGAAACACTGAGATCAAGCTTTGTTACGTTGCTTAAGAAAATTCCCAAYACCTGAAACATCTGCTACAGGTGGAATGAGGAGTATTTCTGAGCTCATTGTGCTGTATTTGACCTGAGGATTTCTGAGCAGTGTTTGGGTTCAAAGAACACTGGCAAAGCTAAGATCTCAGCAGGGAAGCAGATTGCTTTCACTTCTATTACACTACAAAAAGGAACATGCTTGAGTATCTCCCTCTGAACTCTSCTTCAAATGAAGTCAGAAAGAACAGCAAAGGGCCAACACAATGTGCACTGAAGCAGATAATAAACTTCTTTACCTTGAAGACATGGAGTTCTTTTGCACTGTAATGGTTTAAGAGCATAAAATATACACATATACTATTAACTGTAAATGCATTGTGACATTCAACAYAGAAATATTCCTTTAAATAAATAACAAAATTTCTTTAAACCAATTCAATCTTCTTAAGATTGTGGAAAAAAACATATATTCTTCCCCCTCGGTCAAGCTCATTAAATTGCAAAGAATGGCAAACATTAAAACATACTCTAGGTAGTCAGTTAAAGGAAAAAAACCTGACAGCACCATCAGAGCTGTACTCCATAGTCAGGTGTGTGATAATCCCCTGAATCAAAAATAAATTGAGTAATAGAGATGCAGATACTAAAGCCATTTGTATGTGTGTCACAGGGTAACTGATTTCAAGACTCACACTCCCAGCAGAAAGCAGAATGACAAGGAAAAAGGTTCTACAGAGAGAATTAAAATTAGACCAAAGCAGAGATGAGAAACGTACTTTGCAATTGCTATTAAGGCATCTCTTCTGGATTCAGCAAAGCTCACATCTTCAGGRGAAATCTGGGTAACTTTTTTTAGACCTCCCAAAACCTGAAAAAAAATACGAAGATTGAGACACATAAATCCAAAGCAATTTTTATTATGTTAAATTTAGATATCATATTAAAATGTGTTCAATCCTGTATGAAAGAACCAAGCAGGCAACAGAGTTTGGATTCTCAGCAGGAGAACCTCTCTTCCCTTGGACCAATGTCCCACAGCAAAGGGATAATTCAACCCCTGGCTTCTCCATTAACACCACTATAGCAGGACTAAACATTAATTATCAGAAACTATAGCAAGCTCAACTCATGATGATTTTCTGTACATTAGCATTCAAACTCCTTTGACAAAGACCTTTAATTATGAACATTATTATTTATTTTATTACTGTCACAGGTTTCACTCAAAACACCTTGTGCCCTCTACTCATTACAAAGATCCTATTTTCTTACCTGTTGGAGCCTGCCCTTCAGCAGAAATCTTGGAAGGGCCCCAAGAGCTCGTGAAAAGCCACAACGAATCATTTCCTCTGCATTTTGTAGCTCTGAAACGTACTGTGTCACCAGTTCATCTAGAAAAAATACAATTGCAAAGTGAAAAGCAACTACCACATCATTATCATTTCATATTTGGCTAAGRAAATAAACAAGGAGAAGATCCCCTAAAAAAAGCAGCTAGAAAATTTTGTAATTTGTTAAACTAAAATGTAGAATATCTTTAATTACCTACAGGAAAAGTATAAAAACATCAAGATGTTCACTTTTACACGAATCAATTCATATTTTCTATCTAAAAATCTGACGTTATACTTAGATGAATCCTACTATTTCAGAGGCAGAAAAAACAAAGTTCTCAATTTTAAAGGGTAATCATGTTTTAGAAATCCAAACAGTAAATATAAGCACCAATTTCTGTGTAAGCACTGGGAAGCAAGTTCTTTGGTATTTACAGGTCATCATTTCCCATCATTGGATAAGTATTCTGTGTTAGGAAGGAGATCTCCTGGTTTGTTAAGGTCAGTTATTTTACAGTTTTCCCTCAAAAAACTCTTGATTGAAGTCTTGTGTGAACACATAAATCATACCTAAACAGTGAGATAATTTCAGAATATTTTTCACAGAAAGATGAAAATAAAGTTGGGTATTTCTGGGGAGAAAGTTCAAGAAGTCCCCCCCTTTTGTTCTATGTGCTGTCACAGGCCAAAGCAGGGACAGAGGTGCTACAAACAATGGCACAGTCAAATGGCACAAGAATAAACTCAACTGGGCATGGAAACAGGAGCCTCACCAAACAAGG